GATAAGTAAGGGGTGTGAGCATGGGGGAGGGATTGACAAGGGTCTCTTCCTTGACCGCTTTGACCACCTTTGCTCTTCTGCAAAGTTTTGAAAGGACAAGGAAAACTTTCCTTTTTTTATTATTTCATTCTATTTATTTTATTTGCTAAAATAGTTCTCTCTGCCAATTAGTTGCTTCGGAAGCCTAGTTCAGTGCAATGACAAAAAGAAGAAAACTGATTTTCTTTTAAGATGCTTGGCCGGAATATGGCTTGCCTTTTACGACACTGGAACTTCAGTCGATTGGGCATGGGAGAAAATTGCCAGAGCCACAGTGAAGGACGAGCTGGGGACCCACGCCAAGGTAACGCCTCTAGAGGACGTTGGGGACGGGAAGGAGCTGCACGGGGCCCAGCATGCCATCAGCGTGTACACCAAGGATTTTACCGATAAGGAAGACGTGATGAGGCTGGAGGGCGTTCTGCGTGGCTTCGGGATGCGGGGCCGCATGGCGTACAAGCCTCGCGTCTACTCAATCCTGGGCGTGTACTCGCAAAACAAGTGGAGGCTCAGACCGGGCATCTACACGTCTCAGTGGGATGTGGGGAAGAAGGCTGGGAGCATACGGGACAGCACTAAGTCCCGCGAAACTTTCACGATAAACTACCGATAGCTTGAAAGCCACAAACGCAGTAATACTTATGCACGAAAGCCTGTTATTGTCACATTTTGAATAGTATCTTCTCTAAAGTTCGATGGTTCAGTGGAGCAAACTCTCCGGCCCCCCGTTACTCAATAACTTCTGAAAAGCTTCATGAAATACAAGTTTGTGCTAACATACTTGAAATATACCTTTCTGTCCCCTTCACATTCTGTCAGAATCATTGTATTGCAAATTTCAATTTTCTATAGCGACCTGATTTATTGAATAAGACTGGATGGAAAAAGTTGCATTGCACAAAACCTATTGTGGAGCTTTGGAGGTTGCTATGGGACTATCGTTATGAATGTTATGCAAGTTATTATTGTGCGAAACACTTTTCGAGCCTTTTCAAAATTATTAAAACGCACCTTAAGAGATAGAAATAGGACTACCCTGGTGATCTTTGACTTTACACATAATGTGTGAACTTGCAGGTGTCTGAATATGCCTATCGCTGCCGAGCATTCGCTGAGATCACTGAGGCATTTTCAGTTGTGGAAATCTGACATTCTTTTGCTGTTGTTTTACTTAGAAATCAAACGATGTAGTGTGGACCTATTTGAATGGGTTGGTGCGGTTGCTAATGCACCTTTCTTTCCAATGGGTCGTCTCATTGGCGTGGGTACTGATTTGTGGGAAACGCAAACGACAATAGTCCTTTCGTGGGAGATTTTAAGGCCACTACTTGACCAACCACAATGATGTTCAACATGCATGGATTTTGTGTCTACCGCCACCACTTGACCGTGCCAGAACGTGTCACGGAACGTCTTTGAAAACGATCAAAACTGTCAGAACATTACTTTACAAAATTATTTTACAATAAATACTGCAGCTGATTCTTTTTGTGTGTGTGGATTCGAAACATCAGTTTCAAACATCAGTTTCTGAATATTTTTCATATTATTCACATATAATTTTTTGCTGAGTAAGATTTGAGGTCGCTGCATGATTTTTGAATACAGCAAAATACTCGTCTCACAAAATCCTTGTTCGTTACATGATATCTGCTCAGTATGGTTGCTATAAGTCCCCAAAAAAGTTCTTGCCGCCACTTAGCATCAGGGGAATTTTAAAACAATACCGGAAGAGGAAACCAGTACGAATGTGTATTGATCGACTATTCTGATTTTTTATTAAAGAATAACTAGTCATTTTTGAAATCGAAAATAGGAGTGGGAGGGTCAACAAATTTTTGAAATAATTTGTAATTTTGAATAGCCCAATTCTGTCTCGACTTTTGTTATGGAACCAGGAAGTCAGGCATCTCTTGACACTTGTTAAGTGTATTATTTTGTTGAGACTGAGTGGGATTAGCGGCTTGGACTTAGCCTTAATATCAGCTTAGCCTTAATATTCAAATGACGAAATACCACCAGTTTCAATTTTGTCGGTTTGAACTTCCAGCCAAATTCTGTTTCAATCAAATGAGGATGCTCACATCAACGCGTATTTGAGGGTTAGCCTCTCTTAATTAATACAGCAGGATACATACATACCATCACAGGATAACAGGTAATTTCAACGTTTCCATTGTTTGCAATTTGCATCAAGAGCCTTATTTAAAAACGGTCGAGGGTACGAATCGGGTGATCTAAAGTTCAATTTAAAGGGCATTTGACTGTGCAAAAAACATCGATCACTTCGGAAATGCACGCCTGCATGTCAAATCTACCAAAGGGTTCATTAGAATGATTTTATGGAACTCTTTGATTTTGTGAACACCAGCAACGTCCTGCGTCTTTGATAGCGGTACGTTCCATGCACTTTTGGGAAGTTCGGTTTTTATGAGAAACCTAACAATATCAAATACTAAATGCACAGCTTTTAGAGAAGAAAAGGCGATAATTCTGCTTTTTTGCCATATAGTGGTCGCGGCAGGCGCTTAAAATTAAAGAATGTTAACACTTAGACACACTGTAAAAACGCAGAGCAGGTTTTGCCAAATGTTTGGTACCATGTGAATTGCCTAACAGTTGAGCAAACAGATCATCTAACCGCATTGAATATCTCCTAAACTTATGGGCAGGCTTGTCTCAATTTACCCAACGGTCATTATTTCTACATCCATTTTTTTACTCAGTGTTATGATCTTTTTGCCCAACAACGTGCCGTGTTTGAAGTTAAATGTTAAAAGAAAAATCCCTTAACCGTAAGTTGAACGGCACAAGTGCATTCGCAACATCAGAGACACTTCTTGATAATAGATAGCATGGACTCTAAATAGTTACAATAAATATGCAGCTGAAGAACTAACCTAAAAGCTACCCTCTTTATTTTCCAATCAGATGTGCGAATATTTATACAAAAGGTGTGAAGTGATTCCATGGTCCCTTTAAAGCAAAATAAAGTCCACCCTCATGAGTGTGTAAACAAGTACAGCATTAGGTACCTAATTTCTCGACCGTATCTCCCTGCACTTTGGTCATTACATACGCCCCAGCGACACCATGTTGACTCGTGTCCCATGATAAATCCAACCCTGATACGCTGTCCTAATTCGTGAGACGATGTCTTTGCGTATAGCATGAAATGCCCTCCTGTGTAAATGATGCCAGTACAAACACGAACTGAGAGAGATTTATGATTATTATTGCAGTTGATATCAATTAAGCAAAAGTCCCATTGGGACTCATTTGTTATTTCTCGCACGCGATGCATACTGCCTTGCAGCACGGCCTGCTAACTACCTTTTGTCACGGCAAGACGTCAGATGAAGTTAAGAAGAAAAAAAGGCTTCCGTTAGACCATCTCTCGCGCCCTCCACGTTTTCCACTGCTACTCACCATGCCGCGACAACATGATGCTAGCAGTGAGCCACGTTGTGGTACCTTTCCCGCGTCTTTGTATAATGCATACTGCATGTCTACACACGCGTGCAATAGAAATGCTATCTTCCGTAGATAGCCGCAATCCTGGATGTGGCACGCTGTATAACGTCCAGACGGCGCGGCGGATGCGTGTCTTTCGGGGTGTTGGATTTCGCACGTTCTATTCCGATCCAAGTTTCATTTCCCTTTTCAAGGGCAGCATAAAACCTCTCGTCATTAACCTTTTGACATTTTGCTTCATAAGCATTATTGGAGGTAAATTTGGTCGCCTATGATATGCGACTCATGCTTCCAATCTGAACATGCCTCCACAGCTCACGGGCCGGCCGTGTGCGGCTCAGATTTACTACGTGCACGCTAGATGTGTAATTACTCGTCTTCACTTCTCTACACGGCGAGCAGCGGTGTGGCAGGCAGGCACAGAATTGGCCCTGGAAGGAGGTGGCGCTCTAACCCAACCGCTCTAATCAGAGGCTCTTGATTTGCATACTTGGTTAATTAATTGTCTGGGGGAATTTCCGTTAAGGACGTCACCTTGATGGCTCGTGGAAGGCAAGCATACGCATGCCACTGCGCATGACTAGCTGGTAATTATTATTCATCATCATGTGTTGTTCATCATCGCGTGGATGGTAAGGGTTCCGCGTGTGCGCGTGTTATCACTGGCTGTGGCCCCAGGGGCGATTTATTTTGATCTGATTTAAAAGAAATAACTCCAACACACGTAAAGTGACATCGAAGAGTGATCTGTCGGTGATGTAGCAGCCAGCAGAGCAATGTCAACTATGTCTGCACAAAAAAACCAAGGCGCCAAAAAACCGGTAAGTATTCCTGTCATCGCTTAGTGTAGTAATGTCACCGCGTTTCGTTCCCACCTATGCCAAGAAACGATACTCCAATTGTCATGCAATCTGGACCCTTTATAAAGAACAGGACAGTACCCGATGTCTTGGAGAGTAAACGTTAGCGCCGTTAAGGACTGATGACCTGAATAAATGCTAGCTGATATAGAATTTCAATTTAATTTGTCCTCATTGAGGCTTGACCGACACGCAGTATTGCCTTTTCGAGACGTACTATGGTATCAACTTTGAGTTATTGAGGAGACGGTGCATTTTTCGACACACGAAAACCTTCGTTTCTTGATGCAATGTATTTTGGTCTGACAAATACCAGTTTATATAAAGTGCGACATAATTTCAGCGATATCTACTGGTTAGAGTGAGAAACAAAACAGATGTTTTTCTCGGTCACTATTATAAGATTTCCTTATTCCAGATTCTAGGCCACGCACAAAATTGAACAACAATAAAAAAGCCCTATTTTGTAAACAAAAACTAACAATTATAGATGTGCCAAATTGACCGTGAAAATTCCAAAACGACAACGACTACAGCAGAGTAACAATATACTCATCACAAATAAAAGTAAAAACGGGCACTGCGATGATGACAAGGACGATGACAATGGAATGTTGTACAGCAGTACGAACAGCCACTGCAACAGTAACATCACCAACAGCCATAAACGCGCAGGTGCAGCTGCATCAAGCCGGTTCAATAGTTTCCCGATACTTGCCATAGTCTCACATAGTATCCTGTGAAATGTCCCCTGGCTATCTCCTCTGCGCCCTTCTGCTATCGATCTCATCCAAGCAATCTGAGTATCTGGACGAAACCTGACATGATATGTGAATGAGACGGCAGTACACGGGTACTTTGACAAGGGGGACATGTTTTGGATGAGGCAAAACATTTGAAATTCAAAGAATGTATTTTGTCACGGGAAAAAGTGCAGGATGCACACCGCGATGGCACACAGATTTCATATGTTACCGTGTAATCCCAGCCAAATGTGATAAGGGCTCAGGCGAGTCTTTTTCTGCTCTGGTAAACTCTTTGATAGACCATGTGTTGTGTGTGTGTGTAGAAGGGGGGAAGGAGATTTCGACAGTTTAATATTGGCTGCTACAGCTGACTGAACACTATCATGAAGCCTTCTTGGTGTCATATGTGTAATATATAACGCCAATGTTCTTCTCTTTCAGATAGACGAGCTTTCAGAAGCCCAAATTGCAGGTGAGATTTAGAAAAAAAGATAATTCTCTTTTACCATGCGTTACCGACGAACATTGCGTTAGCACACAAACAAATTTAGTTCATCCGCTGGCAATTCACCATTTATTCTTTGCCGGCATATCTTGTGGCGTGCGGTAGTTTCAGGGGGTTTTCACAACGAACATTCACCATCTTACAACATTGGCACTTCTAACATTAGAAACAGCAGGACATATCTTTATAAACGATCTCCAGCGACTTTCATAAGTCAGATAACACCAAATAATCGATATTTGGTGTTCTTCCTTATTTTTTGTCTGTGGCGTGAGGGGAATTGGTTTGTGAACAAAAGTACCGATGCTGAAACACAGTTCTCTAAGTGGTTCAGAGTGCAGTGCATTAATTTGAGATCATTTTGAAAATTGAATCAACTCAAAACGATCAACGCGAGTATGGATATTGGTACGAGGGTAAATAGCTAGCAGTTATTATGCAATGTTGCACGCCGATTTCGTACTTCAGGGCCGACATGTTTTCAGTTGTGGTAAGACTGGTCACGACTAATTATTGGCATGTACTAGCAGCAAACACATTACGTTTATAAATGTGTGGCTTCTTCTATTTCTGCTTAGTGATAAGGGAGTATAGTCCCTTTTTGTGACCAACAGAGTTCTGAAGATTTAAGTACAATGACTAGAACCTATTGAACACCCTGCAGTGAACAATTTTGGTTGGTTTCTGAATGTTCAGATGCTTGAGTCAACTAATCTGTAATAAGCATTCATTAGACTCCTGTCAGCATGGCATAACGTCGACACTCGATTAATCGAAGAACTGCTTAGCCGTGAATCGTTCGTCAGAGTTCGTTGCATGCGAAGGATGCATCTTCAACCGCTGGAAAAGTAGCGCCTTTCGCACGACGTAGAGAGACTTGAACCCGGCAGTTCGTTCTCACTCGCTGTGCGACGGTGAGTTTTCGAACCGAACACTACACACGAAGTAGTAGATTACATTTTGTTCTTGAGGGAAGGGGGGACAAATTGTTGTACGGAAAAACTCAGTTGCGGGATTGCTACCTTGAGAACATCTCGGGTATGCGTGAAGTTCGAAAAGAGCATCTTCAATACAAGCCCCCTTTAAAATTGTCTTAGGAAAATATAACCCCTACATGAACATTTCTGTCCCACGTCACTATACAGTGGCTCATCTTATTTCATACTGATGCCCATGAGAGATGTGTTGTCCGTAAGTATTAAAAAATAGCCAAAATTAAAGCCTATTGACGTTACGAGTGTTTACCCAGCTCAGTTTTACAGTCGAAATTAATTTTCTCATGGCAGAACGGTGAGCTCTTGCTCTGTATCGCTTATGATTCTGAGCAGGGTATTCATTCCTCAAGCCACTACTTCAAGTAATTTTGGCATGCCAGCACCCTGTCCAACTTTAGATCAATCGTCCACAAAAGCAAAATTTGTAGACATTCCAGGGTGACAGCTGTTGTCAATTAGTCTTCTTTCATACCCCCCCCCCATCCTCACATATCGATTGCAATTAATACCCTGACGTCATACTCTATGGAAGTCTTGTCGACGGCCGCCAATTTCTACCGCAGGGGCCGAGGGATCGCTGCAGATTCGGGAAATCAACTTTAACCGGTGGGTCCGGGTGCAATTTAAATGCATGATGAGCCCAACGCTACAGACTGCTTCAGATTACATCAGATGCGCAAGGGTTATCGTCCATTGGATAATGCACCGAATCTGTGAAGCTCAACCATCCCACATGGGAACGTCTAATAATGTGCGGAGAGTATTTTAATCGTTCTAACGGCGTGAGTGCGGAGTTTACAGGAAGACTGCAAATTATTTGTTGTGTGCTTGCGAATTTGCTTTTTAAAAAGTTGTCGCTGGATTAGGGCTTGTTTGGGGATGGGATTGGCTAAGGTGTAGGGTTAGGACTGTTTTACTTCCATTATTACTACAGATAAAGTATACAGTTGCAGTTGAACTTGTTTTTTTTGGGGGGGGGTTGGAATGTTACCACCGACAGTGTATTCCTTTACATCTGTCAAATCGGTCCAAGAAATGAAAATAATATAAAAGTGACAAACGTATAGCCAGTGCTGTGTCTCACGTCTGTAATCCAAATGGAGGAAGTGTGGGTTTGTAGGGCCGGGTACCAGGAACAACTGTAACATAATGATTTGGGCCACTGTCGGAATCAACCTGATACTCTCTGAGATAACATATTCCTAGCACTCAAAACTGCGAACTTGTTTCCCATTATAAGCCTCTGTCATGGGCGTAAATCTTGGAAGGAGGAGGCGGTATATACCCTCACTTTTTTGGGGGGGTGGGCTATTGAATCATCTCCTACTTTTTCGTAGTGAGGAAAAAAATAACCGACAAATGTCTCCAATAGCACTCAAAAAGGGAGAACAATTTAAAAAGCTACACATATGCCGTTCTGATGTTACATTCTGCAGGAAATACATTGCAAATGTACATCTGTATCATGAACATCACCCCTATAGTGTCATATGGTGTCAGCACTCCCCCCCCCCACGTTTCAAATTTCCATGGCAGGGCAAGTCAATCCCAAAAATTCTTCCTCACCCCCATTTTTCGGCACAGATGTTGTGGCATAAGGCCTTCCAGTTCAGATTGTCAAGGGGAGAATGACTACCAAACACATTGCCCCATAACGCTGGGCAGGAGTTCTCCGTACCGTGGCGGCAAGCGACCTGAGCATGTTCTTCACGGCGTACCAAATCCAATAAACTCAGTAAGAAGATTCTGGATTGGGGTCCCTTCCATTAAACGCTGAATGACCACTATTGAATTTGAGTCTACACAGTACATAGCCATGCGGTCTCGAGAAGAGAGCGATCCTGTCGTGTTCATTTATTTAAAGGGAAATACATTACTGACAGTATACACTGACATTTATTGGAGGAATGATGTCCTGAAATTCTGCGCTATTGATACTTATGTAAATGAAAGGGGAAAAAATGGAAACTTGAATTCAGACAGTTTAGAGAAAAAAAATTTAATGATATGTATTTGAGTTTAATTTGAGCTTCAAAATGAATTGATAGAAAAATTACAAACACAAATACAAGCCTTTTAACCAAAATACCCATGCATTATAATGATGTCCTTAATGAGGCGAGTCCCCAAAATCCGGTTCATTAATTACCTTCATTGATTATGTTCTTAATTAGTTTACCCAAAAGCCAAATGCAAATGTACCTACCTCCTATCTTTAGAATTCATCATTAAATAAAAAGAAGAACGGAGACGGCTGGGTCCGTCTGTCCTTGAATAATTAACTGATTGTTTTGAGTTAACATACGATGGTCTGTGTACACTTTAAAATGTCAGATGCCTCGGCCAACCTGTACTGGTACACTTTCTTGAGCGTCAGGAGCAATTACGATAAACCAACTCTCTGTCTTGTGAAGGAAGGTGTGTAAGTGCGTCGTGCCTTTCCTGGGCTTTGTGGAATATCACAGGTTTTGAAAATGCAACGTTTGCAAAAGTTATTGTTTGGCAGTGGAACGCTTCCGGGATTTTTTTTTTTTTTTTGCATTAACAGTACCTCTGTTTACTTAACTATGAGAAAGTCTTCCAGTAAAGTATTAAAATGTCAGGGTTCCCATTTTATGACACTTTAGCATCGTATGACCCAGTAAAAAAACCAAAACGTCTTTTGAGAATCCTCCGACTGAAAGGCTGAGGAAAAAAAGACCACAGAGCTATGACGAGTACCTCTAGAATCTGGTGATTTGGGGATTTTTTTAGCATGCATTGCGGACCTGTAAGAGATTGTTTCCTCTCTGGGATAGGCTCACTGTCCCAGCATCATTACGTATTGATGGCATGGAAATTGAACAAGCACATGCAATTATTTCGCTGTAGAATTTAAATTGCTGGGACATCAGTGGGGTGGAAAACAAGTGTATGAGCCCTCTCTGGAGGAAGGGGCTCGAATCGCCGTGGAATAGCTTTCATAGGAGTTGCCAATTTCTACGAAATCAGTATATATGGCATAAATATTGGATCAGTCGAGCGGCAGGCGAGGCGCCCGCGGACATCCCCAACGTCTGCGCAAGAGTGCATTGAGGTTTATGATATGTACCGTGCCTCACACCTCACAAGGCAAGCTTAATACGTATTTTGGACTGCCAGATTTCTTTTGGGTTGGAACAACAATCGATCATGTTCGTGCGGTACTTTACTCCGCTCAGGTGGTCACTGATGTTTACAGATCAATTAATGGACCGTGCCTTGTATTCATTTTAGTACATGTACACGTACAGTACAACTATAAGGGACGTTTGGTTTGGTGCAATTTTGATTTATAAAGGATCGTTTGGAATCGAATCGTCGGCCTTACATTTACGATGTTCTAAAGTTATGTTTCCCTTGAAATTTTCGATGGGCACATTAGCGCCGTTACATGCATTTCTTATTTCTATTCCGGGACGCAGGAATGTTAGAGTTACTATACTGAACGTTAATCTGAATGGAAAAAAGTGCCATTACCCCGTAAGGGTGGTACTTTTCACATCCTCGCCCGAGTTATGCACGAGTACAGTACACCCACGTGTCATGTGCCATCCAATCCGCTGACCGTGCAGAACCTATCAAAGGTTGGGGGTCACGGTACGGCGTACTTCTCTGGCCAAGGGTGTAAATGTGTAGCGAGATTATGATGACAGAAGCGATAATATACACATTAATTATGTATACTGAAGGCCTCCCTGTAGCTTGACAGAGAAACCTCTACTGTGTGGTGATTGAACAGGGATGTTGGTGCGAGGGTGGGGCTTGAGGCTGTGGCGTAACTCAGGCCAAAGTCACTTAGCGACAACTTCAGAGGCCATTTTGTGTCAAAGTCTGGCCCGGGCGCACCCCGCCCGATGGGCATGCTGTACACGTGCTTTTACGCAGGGAGCAATCAATTGTCCGACTTTAATCTGTCGTATATTCATTTTATGATCAATTTGTGCTATCCTAAATATAACAACCGACCAATATTGAAACAAAATGTCGCCCAACATCGACCTCACGTCGCAACTCTGTCTATGTACTTTGCATTGGCACATTCTATCCTCTAGGGGGAGCCAACAGTGAATGTGGCAATGGTTAAAACGGGCGTTATGCTGGAAGGGGGTTCGAGGCCTAAAGGAACAGTTCACAAGTGTGTGTCTTGTGTCTACCCAACCTTCAACCCTAAAAGAGCTTGGTCATTGTGGACCATGACACAGTTGGGGCCAGAATGCGTCCCAAAGAACTTGGCTGTCTCATGTCCAGATTTTTTTAAAGTTAAACTTAGTATAAATGTCAAAAAGGCTCCATATCAGTACAAATGCGGAGTTTTAAATCAATTTGACTGAAGGTGCTGTTGTGGGCTTTTGAAGTTGAAGTGCCAGTGTGCATTAGGCATGGTAGTGGAAAAGTTTACATCATTATTTGACCGATCCTATCGGGAAAAATGGGTGCTGCGCGAGAACGTTTTGTTTGTTTGTTTGTTCGTTCGTTCGTTCGTTCGTTCGTTCGTTCGTTCGTTCGTTCGTTTGTTTGTTTGTTTGTTTGTTTGTTTGTTTGTTTGCAAAAGTGTGAAATGGTGTCAAAATGACTAAAAAGAGTCACCTAAAAACTGTGTGGGCTCGGCTCGTGAAAAAAAAATGCACTGCGGTGATAGGTCCATTGGAAATATTGTTTGGGTGGATTCCACACCCGGCTCGTTTAGGGATAAAGTTGCGTCACTTTTTCCCAGTTCCTCTTGCCCTTTATCCTTTTCCGGTATGCTTCTGTCGACAGAATTCAGACAGGCCTTCTCAATATTTGACAAAGATGGGGACGGCACCATCACACACAAGGAGCTAGCCACAGTCATGAGGTCTCTGGGTCAGAACCCTTCCGAGGCAGAGCTGCAAGACATGATCAACGAGGCAGATCAAGACGGTATACACTTTTTTCTAGTTATATCGAGGACTGTGTAAAATGATCCCCAACATCACCGTACACGCTATCTGAACGTAGGCTAAATAATGCTGGGTGTGTCTCAGTTCCTCATGGGAAGCATACAATACCAACCATTCTGACGCCCTTGGGTATAACAAACCTAACACTATTAAAGCAACGTTTCACGATTACACAGTGTTAGTCCAGATTAATGATGGTCACCCTGACGTTAATTAAAGGTATATGCGTCTATCTCTTGATAAAATTTTATTTCCAAACATATCCCTTGGATGTAAACAGCATAACGTGAAGTCATGTCCTGCATGAAGATAGGAATGTTGTCTGGACGATTTCAGAAGGAAGAGGCTTCTGAGGGCTACATTTTGAGTGAAAAAGTCAAATGTGCAACAAATACAATGTATGTCTGTAGTTCATTCCACAAACACGACGGACATTGTTGGCTTTTACAGGTATGTATAGGATCTGTGTATTAAAGCTGATTACAAGCCGACCAAGTTTGAAGTAACACATCATTTTAATCCAATGGTTATCGTATAATACGTTATACATACTGTGGTACACCAGCACTACCTGTAACATTTAATCTTGTGCTGAGATTTAATCCTCTTGTATGCAAGGGGGAGGGGTCTTTACCTGCGTCATCTTCTCAATCCCATTCGTGCATTTCATTAGCACGAGAGCCAGATGTCGTGCTTTCATTTATGGATATTAAAAATAAGAGGGATCTATGTATAACAGATCTAACACCTTGTCCGTTCTATTGAAAAGTTCAGCTAGGAGTTATGTTTCCGATAGAAGTTTTCTGGTCAGCAGGGCCTTAGACCCCCTGATGCTTTTGGGAAATGCGATCCAAGCATGACCCCACAGGTTTTTCTGTTTGCTCGTCGACTAGGTTGTACGTCGGGATAGTCGTCATGCATGGAATATGCAACGCAATATGCATCATTTCATGTCGCCCTGCATTTCGTGTCTGTATGTTGTGCATAAATTTTATCGCCAATTCATATTGAATATGTCAGCGACGAATCACTGAATTTCATTTTTCCTCGTGAATCATAAAATTAGCAAGTCTTTCCCCACAATGAGGATCCTGATGAGGACCAACTAGCTGAAGACGACCAAAAGTGAATAATAATCACGGTTTAACTTGCTGTAGTTTGCGGCGTGACTCGCTCAACACGGAACAGCCACATAATTCCGGGACATGTATTGTTCCAGGGTATATTTTGAGTCTCATTTACCCATAGTGCTTTGTCAGTCTATACAGGAGTACCTGCAATCTATAAATCTCACACCCTCATCTCCCAAGCATTATAATTTATTAATGCATGCATTGGGCCCCATACGCTTCATTTATCCACACCATCATCCACGTAGTCGGAAACCTTCTGAATTAGTTCCCCTCTACCAAACAGCGGTACCCTGAAATAAAATGTATTTCTCGAGTTTATTCCCAAGTGCTGTGACTAGAATTTGAAATCGACACCAGAAGACTGGTTGTGATTGATAATTGGCAAACGCTTGATATTGTTTCGAATTTTCCCTCCCTATACCTCTTTTTTTCTGTTAGGATTTTAAGATTTAAAGTCATGGCAATTGAAGACAAATCTCCAAGAATCATGTTCACTACCGCTTACAATGGTAACTTGCTCGCCTCTATTATGCTCTCCGTCGAGATAACTGCACTATTTTCAATAGCGCGGTAGACATGCTCATGGCATTTCACTTAATCTTAATGATGACGCCTCAGCGTCGATGGAGCCTTTCCTTTCATCTGCTGTGGACGTGTTTATCTTACTCTGCCAGTGTAAAATACTACTTTTGTGCCAATCTACGATGACATCTAAAAATAGTCTTTCTCAACGATTTCAGAGAAGATAGTTCGGCATTCAAAAATTCTCCCTTATGAATTAATTATTATTTTTTCCAGTAGTAGTTTTATATTTGATGATAATTCCCAATGATGGGCTTTCATTGCGTTATTGCGTAAACTGTAACCCCGGGCAGCGTCATCCTCCTGTGCCAAGAGTGACAGGCTTGAAATCAATGCTGTAATCTGAAATATTATTCTACACAGTGTCTGAAGGCTGCACTCCTCTCGAAGTGGATTTCCACTCTGCGGACTAAAGGCAACATACAATGGAACATCAACTGCACACCGTTTCAATTTATGCTTTTCTTGAGACAGGCCAACTTACTGCTTTGAATTTGCCTCGAGTTTCTGCGTGTGAGAAAACGGGGGGCCAGAGAAAAACTTCATTCTGCTGTGTTAGTTTTATACATTTCTTTTTTCTGTTTTTAATTGAAGTATAGCCATTGGCAAACAACTGAACTTAAGTGGGTTCTTAATGAAGTAGCGACAGTGAGTTCTTAATGAAGTAGCGATTTAATACTAAGACAGTCGGAATTGAGATTTTCAATTAAACCATTTTTCCCTTAGTATAAAAACCTCCTTAAAACTGAAGAGGTACTGAACCCGTATTTAGAACTCACAGTTTGACATATGAAGGCATTAAATTAAAATGTTGAAAAGATGGCTACCATTAACCGTTTGTTTTCCTTAAGAAATAATTTCACGATCTTTTCTCTTTAAAGGGAACAGTTGTAATTTTTGGTTTTTTGTTTAAAAAATCATGTGATATCGACGTCCTTGATAATGGCAACTAGGCAAAGATGGGGGGCGGGGCTGAGCTTCAGCAGTACTGAAAGTATAGCTAACTCACTACAAAGACCAGAGCCTGATTTCACGAACCATAAATGGAAGATGTTTGCATGGTCTAACTGTGAACTAATCAAAATTACCTGAGTCTTTTCTAGGCCAACATCCCGTATACACATAACGTTTTAATGGTAAACTGATTTTAAAGTGTCAGAAAAAGAAGTCATGTTTTTATCTATTAGGCTTTTTCATGGTCGTAACAGTCCCATGATATTAGCCGTAAATGTTTTGCATGTCTAATTCAGAGTGGGGATTTTTTTCTCGCATAATAACATCAGATTCGGCGCCTTTCCATGAGCTCGCACGCGCGCCGTCCACTATGCACGTCTCGATCGCCGCAGAATACACGCATCAGCACAGCCGTATGTGTCGCATCGCATGTGACGTCGCGTTTGGTGGACCAACGGCCTGAAACCGAATGACACAGCCAAGCGGTCGTCTAAATGCCAATCTCTCTTGGTTTATGGGCCAGAAATCTTTGGTGTAGATGGTGATTTAGTTAGAGTCGAAGCACTTGACACGAACCGGACAGACTGATTTGTTTGCACAGTGTGATGCTGACTTTTAATGATTAAACATATTCAAAGACTTTCCAAGTACAAGAATGTGTTCCGTTAATATGATCCTGCGTGGCCAAAGTTAAGGAATGTTGTCTTTTGATCATAGGCCTACTTAAATGTAGCCGACGTAGATGTATTTGCAAAGGTACGGTAATCTCAAGGAAGACAATCACAAATATAATGTCTCTTTGAGACAGGGAATCACAAATATTGGTCTCGTGTGATGACCCCTCAAATTTAAGTGTATCATTCACGAGACCCCTTCCAAGCACAGAGATCTGTCATGCGCGAAAACATGAACATGTCCTTCAAAAAGAATCGATTGAAATGACAACAAAAGCAGGGTAACCATACAAAGTTGTTGAAAGTTCTCATAATTGACCTGTTTGTGTACACAAGTCACGTGGACAATAACCAGGCTTAATGTATTGATCACTGCATTGTTAAGTAATATGCACCTGCAACCATCACGATAATATTGTCAACCATTTTCAATGTGAAGTCATTTTGAACTGTGCTCTTCCCCTCCTCTTCCCCAAGGCAATGGGACGATAGACTTTACTGAATTCGTCAGCATGATGGGACAGAAAATGAAAGAGCTGGACACCGAGGAGGAGATACGAGAGGCCTTCAGAGTATTCGACAAGGACGGAAATGGATTCATCAGGTAGGCTGCTCACACCAGGACGCATGATGCCTGTGGCCGTGCAGTTTCTTGAAGGCAACAATGGAAAAGTGGGTCGGATCTGCAGTAGGGAATCACGGAACACAGAAAACAAAAGTTCGTACATCACTTCTGAAAAAAAGACATGATTCCACTCGACCGGCCAGATTCAATTGACTGGCCAGTTTAAGCATGTGCTCCTGTCAAAAGAAATCGATGGAATCCAGTTTCTTCATGCACTGGTAAACCGTGGCAGCTTTGTAGTTAGGGGGCACACACTTCAAAAAATGTTAGCGAGTTTCCTTGAAGCACTTACTTTTTTAATTATATATTTTTCTTTGATGTAGTAAAACTACAGCGGGTTTGCATGGCTGCCAGCTTGCAGGCTAGTGATTTTTATTCCGCAGGGTATGCGCAAAGGAGGTTTCCCTGTGGAACAAAACTAATGCCTTGCAACATGGCCACCCCGCAAAGCCTCTAATGGAGGTCGATTTGGGATTAAGTGTTGTGAAAACTGCACCCTTCTACACAATTTAAATAATTGTCCATGCCTCTCCAGACAGCAGAGGGCACCGTTACTCTTTGTCATTCAGTGGAGACACTTCGGTTGATCGGTTTTTGTGTTCAAGTTGAAAACCCGAATTTGCTTCCGGAAAACCTTCTCTGAGAAAGAGTTGCTCGTAATAGCTTAATGCCATGTGGTCACACAACGATGAATCAGCAGAAAAATGTCATTCAGCACCGCAAAATATCAAAATTACAGGGGTTTTTTGTCATCTCCTATCAATGCAACATTGAGGATTTTCCCCTGGAATGACCTCACAGTTCTTTTCATAAAAATGGACATTCGTATTTGCATACACATCGAATAGGAAGCAAAATATTTATCAGAAAGCAAAACAAACTTGACAATGAGGGTGATGGAGCATTCTCAAGGGCTAAGTAAAACAAACTGCATTGCGTATACCCAGTGGCGTAAATCTGTACCGGGAACGGGGGGGTCTGGAGATCTTTAAGGGATGATTTACCAGGCCATAGACATTTGACAGGCATGGGAGTGATACTGACACCATATGACACTGTGGGCGATGTTCATGATACATATGTACATCTGTAATATATATTACACTCCTGCAGAACCTTAGATCAAAACTGCTTCAAAAATTGTTCTCCTTTTGAGTGCTGTTGAATACATTTTGGTTGTTGGAAAGTCCGAAATATTCTTCACAATCCTCCTTTTTTCACCACAAAATTCGTCTAGGTGTGTTGGTGTCCATGTGTGTGTGTGTGGGGGGGTCTGATTCCACAGCCCACCCCTTGGTCAACAAAAAGTGTTGGGGGAATATACCCCCATCCTCCGGTATTCACGCTCTTGGGGAGACATCCCTGGCAAAAATGCCCAAAACGTTGCATTTGCTAAAATCCCTCTTTTTCCCCAAACATGCAGTTTTGATTAGCTAGTATTGACGTCATCAAATTCACGTGACATCAGCATTTGCGTTGTGTATGTACCTAAGGCTCACTATGCACGACATAAGAGGCTGCGCGTATGACCCTTTCATCGAGTGAGGTCGAGATGACGGCGAGCGCCGGAATTACTCCCCTACCGAACATACGACGCTCGATCGATGCTGCGCTTGTACCGTTCAGGCGTTGCTGAGTTGACCGGCCAACGCAAGATCGATCCGTATCACGGGACTAATTTCCCCTCTCCAAAGCCGAACCTGGGTGAATGGATTTCAATTTACTACGTAACGCCACACAAATCCAGAGCAAGATTCAAAGAAGTTACTTTGGTGAAGGCGATAGCAATCACTGCATAATGCACCCATATACACAGATCAGCCACATACTATCGGATTTTGCAGCAGGACCAGCGTCTACGAGGAGCAGATGTTGCTATATTTTTTGACAATTTATATTCCTCGCATTGATCGGATGGAGCTGAGTAACGCATTGGGGATGCGTCAGTTCACTCGTAAGTCAAACCACTTAGCCCACTCGTGACCTGCGCCCAAGAAGACCCCAGTGAGTAAACTCACCTAGCAATGGCTAACCACTTTCCCAAATCAGTGCTTGTCTTCAATTTGGTCTTTCTTGTTTAAAGTGTTGAGCAAGGTCCGTGGCAACCGACCAACGCCGAACAAGCTTTTACCGTGCGACTCGCTCCTCTTTTTCTAGCTGAAAATTCCCTCGAAAAATTATTCCCGCTCCCGCAGGACCTATCGCCTGAATTAAAACAGGGAAAGAAAAGAAGAGCAGAGATTGACCCCAGCACAAAATCTGTGTGTCAGTATCCAAACCAGGCCCTTCGTGCCTGAGGCAGCTCCAGGGGACGAGGGAAAGCGGTAAAGGTATACCGGATAATACGGGATAACGGATATCTTCTGGCCCATCGATTGCCCTGACCGTTTCATAACACCTTGCATACAGAACACCTCTATCAGTCTAGAGTCTGCTTTGCGCTACCCGTGGTATATAGCATGCAATGTTCTTTTTTAGCGTTTAAGTGCGCATGTTATACTCCACTGGGGTCAGCAACCCATCATGTAGATGCTGTGGCTATACGTAGGTATCTACGTTTAATGGCGGTACTTGGAAGAATTCCGCGCATGTCGAGTCTCCAATTTTCTGTACGTAACAATTGGTCGCATGTGTGGACAGCTGGACTGGATCGGCATTTTGAGTACGAATTCGCATGGAGCATATAATTTAACATGAGATTAACCAGAACAACGTAACCCTCGACTCTTGGGGCTAGCTATAACAGTGACCTGAACTGGCAGTACTCTCAGGCAGATGCTGCCAGATGAACTTTAGTCTTACCATATCCTAAAACATGTGTACATGCTACCGGGCATCTTTGCCGTTGTGCTTTAGAACTGACCTGTCTCCTTTTTATTTTGAGGTATCGACTTACGTCCGTTCGGTACCAGATCTGATAATGATATTAGCAAGGACTCGCAGTTTCTGTAGGAGACCATGTGCTGTCCCCCCCCAAAAAAAATCAAATCACAATCTTGTTATACTGTGTGAGCCGTGTGCCATGCCACCCCCGCGGGAGTTGTGGCTGACCGAATTGTGGACCAGAAGCAACTGCCGCAGATGTCATAATCCACACAAACAGGCAAGCTACACATTCGCGTACCTTACGTCATTTTCGACACCAAGTACACTGAACGCTTTTGCGGTGTTTTTAAAAGATGTTCGTTCTATTCACAAAATGGCCACCGTGTACTGTTTAAGTTCACAAACTGATTCTAATTTATCTGTTGTGAGTTTTAGCAAGACGAAACAATAGCATTTGGAAGACTACCTTAGACGGCGTCATATTTTGCTCTTCCCCCAACAAGCTATCAAATAAACTAAAATCTTCCCGATCCACTTGGTACTAATACAAAACTATTTCTTATTTTGGAATGTTTTTCAAATGGTTAGACTGTATACATTTTCAGACACTAAGATAAGGACTTGGCGCATGGTTCATTGTGCGGAGCGCTAGGTATTTGTGGCGCAGAAGTGCACGCTATGATGCATCAGATTCCAGGTGAGCTCAACGCACTTTCTTGAGACACTCTTGCAAAAATGCAAACGCAAGCCGTTGATGGGATCGAGGTAATGCGCTTGGCAGTTCATACAAGCGTGTTTTTTTTCATCCTCTTCTTCTGTCTCTCCCCTTGACTGGCAGTGCCGATGAGCTTCGTCACGTGATGCTGAGTTTGGACGAGAAAGTTGACAAGCAAGAGGTGGAGGAGATGATACGGGATGCCGATGTGGATGGCGATGGACAGGTCAATTACGAAGGTATTCTGCTGTGGCAGGCTCGGTCGGTTTATTTCCCCTTAAAACGAAACACCGACCAAGACCCCCTTTTAACATCTGTTCTTTTTAGAATAATATTTACGAAGTTTCCTAAAATTGACTTTTAAAAAATCTCCCCTGCACTCTGTAAACGTTGGTCAGAAACACGTTGGGCAAAGCTAAATTACCCCGATGTTGGTCATTGTTAACATAAACGTTGGTCCTTTCCAAAAGATTTACACAATGGTTGGACACCTTGTGACCAGAAGTTGGGAACTTGATATTTACACCAAGTTAGGGCAAAAGTTAGTCAAAATATGCCCCTCTCTTTTTTACAGCCTGTAAAACGTCGCTATTCTGTAAAACGTGAAAGAATTGAACATCAGGTCGCCCATAAAATTCTCGTTCTTTTCCAAAATACCTCATAAAAGGCAAGTGGGTGGAAACCACGTACGGAATTATATATTACCCCTTTTCTGTGATCTCGCCGAAGCATATGACATAATCCAATCGGACCCAGTAATAACACGACTAGCGGGTGGTATATGTACACGCCCTATGCTTAGGCTATATAGGGATTTAAGAAAGATTTCCAAATTGAGAACCGGTCCGTGAACCGCAAGTAACTATAGTAATAACTTTTGACTCCCTTAACTGTTGTGTGAGTAACACTGGCAACTGCGCCTTGTGCCAGTTACTCGTCATGTTCCCTTCTTTCTTTCAGGCCTTGTGACAAGTGTAAGGCCACTCATCAAACTTCAGGCCTGATCTACATTATTTTATTTCCTGTATAATTCCTTGCAGAATTTGTCGCCATGATGAGCTCGGACAAATAAAGGATCTTGGGGAAAGCATGATGGAACCACTTGTGCCTCCGACTACACGCTGTCAGTTTCCTCTTCTGCACAATAATGTTAATCCCTCGACATCAGGACTCGCGCTTATTTGCACGACCAATTTCTTAAAACAATTTATTGCAAGTTTGACATGAAGTCGGCAGATAATTTCTTCAGGAGTTGATTTGCAATGTATAAGATGCACAGTTGAAAATGCGCACTTAAAAATTAAAACAACTCAGTTCTTCTTTTTCCCTGACTAACACGTATTTACGTGAGCCAAATGTACAAATATTTCTGTGAACGAAGTAAAACACCAAGTCCAGGCATGGGATGTGCATCGTATTCAACGGCAGTTGTCTCAAAAGATCGATCGTGCATCGACACGTTCGATTTTAAACCTGATTGCATTGCCTTTATTAAGGAACTGAACATGAAGTCATGAAACGTCTGTGTATATTTAAGTGCAATATGTTGTTTGTACATGTACTACACTAAAGTAGCAAGGAAAACTTATATAATGTACAAAATATTTAGCATAGTTATCGGTTTCGTAGACAGTGTTACTGTGGTGGAAGAAAAAATGGCTATACACATTCTAAACGGCAGACTGCAAGATTGTGTTGTATAAAGTGTATTTTGACCACCAGAGTTAGAAACCGTTTCTGCGGTGGCACGACACTCGTGGACAGGTGGTACGTGCGCGTTACATGCCTCGTTGACCAACATTGTGTAGTGATTTGCAAAACGCACGTGAGCGTCAAGCCAAAGAATATGTTATGTGTGTGAGTACGGTGCCACCACAGTTATGGCTTCTAATCGGATTAGTCTTTGGTCGTGTCTGAAACGGGCTTCCAGAGCCAAGCTTTAGGTCTTTCGTCTGCGCGTCTCCGCATATTTCCAGTGGAGCGAAGACCTAGATCGATTCCAACAACTACCAGGGCTGAAAACAAAGTCAAAGTGACACGGTGAAACTATGAAATGAAGTGTCGGTTAACGACGGTATAATTTGCATCATTTATGTTTATTATTGATGCTCAGTATCCAGTATCAAGTTTCAGTGTGTTTGTGTCAATTGGCTCGTGTTGCATCATTGGTATTCTGAAGTGCTTGTCAAGCAGGGGAAATACAATTAACGAAGTGTTTGTGTTGAATGTGATATCCTATTTACATGTTTATTCATTTGCACTCTCCCACTGCGCACTGTTTCACTGCGAATAATGAAGCATCCATTTGAAATCATCTCACGATATGTTATCTCAACGCGAAAGCCCAATCTTAAATATTTATAATTTAGAGTGTGTCTCTACAAGATTTCGGATGGTATTTTCATATACGTTATTGAATAAATTACACATTAATTAAACGATTCTCTTTATTTCCCGAGCCCGGGCCGGTCCGGAGGGTTACTGTGGAGACTGGAGAGCGCCTCATGCACCTACGTTGAAGTGAGGAAACGTTATGTCTCGACAAGTGTTCCCGTACGTTGCGGGTTTCACAGGCTGAAAAATCTTAAACCGAATTGCCATTTTTGTCACAGTGTTGGAAGAAACATTGTAATGAATGATTTCATGTAATCTTATTTAAAGAACTTTTGCGAGTTGAATTTCAAATCTGGTAACTGAGTTCTTTAAATTCACGTGAACTGAACAATTTGAATTCCCCAGACTGAAGACGATGTTATTTTGCTTATGGTTGCTTTAATAGTCCCAGCAAGATGTGGGATCAGGAGGGGTAGCCCCCACCCTTATATGTCAAATCCCTGTACACATTCTAGATTATTGTTACCTAAAACATCCGCCCAAGATGTCTGTAAAGAATTCCTGAAATTCCGATCAAACAATGACCAACGCAAAGGTGTGGGTGTGTGGGGGGGATGCTGTTCGTCCCATATCTTGCCTCATATTATGTAGTTGCTGATCCCCGTAACTCCGGGAAAGCTTTTGCATGACGACCACCATCTCTGGAATGGACCGGTTCCTTTGCGCCCTTCTTATCCATCGAAAACAGTATACTGGCGTGCAAGGCCTCTATTATGTAACCAAGTAAAAGCTTCCTCCAAATCGCAAGGTGTAGCAACAGTGTCTTAAGTGTGGAGAGATTCAAATATGTTCACGTGAATTAAAAGCACTCATTGTACCAGATTTTCTTCAAATTTATCTAAGAAAGGGCTTATTATTTGAACATTAATGCTTGGCAGTTTGGAAGCATAGGCGAATATTCACTGCAATTAGTGCCAAGTGCTTTTGCGCTGGAAATTTCGGTATTATTCAAAAAGAATTATAGACTGTTCTGAAGGTTTCAGCTCAGCGGGCTTACAGAAAGTTTTTATCAGAACCTGCACATACGAAACTGAAACATGTATAACTGTCATAAATCTCAGATAAACGCCTTTCGGTTTTGGGGTATTATTTGTGTCTCTGTGAATGGTCCTCGATATTACAGTAATTGCGATAATACTCTGTTAATTTTTTTAATTATTATGTCTCAATGTGGATACTGAGTTAGCCCTAAAAAAGCCGCAACGGAATCCACTCTCCGCAATATTTGTCCTAATATCGTCGAAGTGCACGTTGTTTAACGCAATGAGCCTGCAGGATTTTTTTAAATAATTTCTTGTGGTTATTTTACATCGATGTTTATAAATATCGTTCTCGCATGGCGTCCGTTTTTCTTGGACCTATGTAGGCCTCTATACATGTGCTTTGTTTTCAATGACGGACTCACAGCACCAAGGCTGGAACGAGTGTGGCCTTTGAACTTCAAATGACCGTAATGACAAATAACATATATTGATTGAGATGAAACTTGGATTTTCTTTAGTGATAATGACTATTCCAACATCCATGACAAGCTAAGAAACTTAGGCAAAGGACAACCGAGTTGGGGGGGGGGCAGAATCCACCTCCCTCCAGTTGTGGTCCAAAAATAACCCGGCTCTTTAGGGTTGAATTCATTCGAATATGGCACTATCAAGGCGTTTATTTTTCACTTAACATGCTGTATAACCTGCAAAATAAGTACTCAGTACATAAAAAGCGCTTTGTACATCCGTTTAGAGTGATTTACTACTTTACCTGCGTCATAATGCTGTGGTCATTGTTTTAGACTTTTATTGGACAGTCTAAACTTTATTTAAGAGAGTTTACCAATGCAATCGCACACAGAACAAGATAGCAACTGCTCCCCTATGCCAGTTTCCCTTACAAGCTTATCTAGCGAATTGCAGTCAACTCAATTCCCACAGGCTAAATAGTTTGTTCTCTTTTCAAGACCAGACAAAACTGGCGAGTACTGGTGTCGTTGAAGTAGACATAAGGAAGAGCACTAAACTAATATGGATGACTACAACCAAAACGTGCATAAAAATTTCAAACAAACATGAAAAAAGAGATAGATTTCAGTTCATTTCTAAAAAGTCACCAATGAAACTAGGGCAATTTTCCCGCCCCCATCCTTTATATATTCCTGATAATGTCCAGAACTTCTGAATTGAAGTAATTACAAAAATTAAAACAAACTCCCACTGCCATCTCCCATTTTGTGGACCACTAAAATGAAATGAATGTCAGCTGTCTTGTAGCAGTGTTATGGGTTACTTTTTCTGCGTTTCATTCGTTAACAAGACTTTGCTGAAGGTACAGTATTATTGAAAGGCTCTTCCTTAGCAAAATTTTAGGTAACTTTCTTTTCGATTGCCATTGTGCCATTCCTTTACAGCATTGCGATATACGTTTCGTATATACCATTGTGAATCTAGTGACCTATTAATTCGGTCGATTCGTGCTGGGGTATAGTCACAAAACGTTAGCCTTAAATGCTTATGTCAGCTTGTGGAATTAGGCCAGTCTGTAAATCCAAATCACTGAATTTAGTTTAAAACTGTAAGCTAGTAGGAGAAATCTATATCGACCATTTGAAAGTCATGCTTTGCAGTTCATAACAGGAATGACGTGTTTTACTGCCAACATGCCGCGTGGCAAAGCTACCATTCCGGCCGAATCTCGCAGGCTCCACACCTTGCCTCCAGTCAGTATTATCTCTCATTGCTCACTCTGTGCTCAAGCCGGAAATAGCAACATTGACTGGGGGAGCGGGGAACTTGGGATCAGTATGCTTACTGTGTCGCGCCCAGTTTTGGTCGGGATCGTAGTTCGGGCTGGCATTAAACATGAATAGCGCCATCTGTTGAACCACAATAGCTAGAATTTCACTATTTTATTATTGTTAACGCTGGTTCTTGCTCTTGGCCCATTTTACTTTGACCAAGAATAGACTCTGGTAAACTCTGAACAGCACATCTGTGAAGGATGCTGGGAGAAAGCAGAATATTAAAACAGTCAGTTTGGAGGTCCAGTTCCCGGGAAAGTATCGTTCGTGTGGATTGGCGTCGATGAGGGCGCTCGCACAGGCCTCCGTCACAAGTGAGAGGCTTGTCGTGGCAGTGTAGTGGGAAGCGTTGACCAATGCATTTTTAAAGGCCTCGAAATAGTCCGTGCCATACACGCCTCTAACCTCCTCTGGTGCTTCGCTCCACGCCCTGTCCAAGTCTTTAAACATGTTCTCTCTAGTAAACATAGCAGACTGCCCACCTTAAATGATCAAGAACAAGGAAAATTTGATCTTTCATCAGAAAATAAGTTTCATAAAATAAGCCTAAGTCTGGTTTCGGCAATTTGGTGAATAAAAGTGTGGAATATTTTCAGACACCAAAGCTTAATATAAGTTGTATTCGTAATGCTTGACATTTCTTTTGCAATTCTTTATGAAAAATATTACGTAACCTCGGTCAGCAGCACGTACTCTGGGGCAACGCGTACGTCGTGTGCATTGACAGTAAGTCAATATTGCCTGTCACCTACAGGTGGGTTCTTCTCAGAACCAAAACACCTCTAGACGAGATTGATGTCACATGGTGTACCCGCAAAGCCTCCTTATAGCCTCAATTATTCAAAGCTTCAAATCTTACTTGACCATTACTGTCCCGTCCCGAACTGCTCATAGGTACAGCTCTTTCATCTGTCTCGGAAGGCCTGACATGAATAGGCCAAAACAGCTACATTTTCAACAGGTTTACTTTTATTTTATCTGAGTGTTTAGGACGCCGTTACATGTAAATCTCATTTCCCCTCAGATGGAAATTACCTGAGAAGTTGCCCGGTTCAACAATGACGGCAGAGACACCAAACTTGTTGACCTCGTTGCGCAGACTGTCCGTAAAAGCCTGGACGCCATACTTTGTGATGCAGTACGCCGAGCAGCCAGGTGCACTGAAATGGCCCAACATGCTGCTAATGTTGACCACACGACCTATAACAATATTTGTGGCACAGACGAGGAAAACTGTTTAAATGATCTAGGACGTAACTTGGGAGTAACAGCCGACCAAAAAAATTAATCACCAGTTTACATTTTCATTTACATGTACATTTATTTTCCCCCTTTTTTCTGAAGCAGTAGAAACCAGCGTATGACTCAAGAGTAGTTGTGACAGCGTCCCATCAGATGCTATGTTTGCTACTGGAGGATCATTTCGAAACTAGTATGACCTCACTCATTCGGGTAGAGCGTCATACCTAATTTCAACACTGATTTCTGCCAGGCAAATATGAACGATAGATGGTGTTTGCGCTAACCGGAGGAAGTTTCGCCATATTGCCTTGCAACGCTGAGGCTCTTTCGACCAGCAACACACTGAAACGGGTTGTGTTCAACAAGGCACAAAGCAAACTGTGTAGGCTATATGTCACCTTTTTCATGAGTGAGCTAAGTCGCACAGCAAAATACGGATTGATGATAGGCCTATATTATAGGTGCACGATATTCAGGTGTAGGCATGCACAGGTGTTTCAAACTATTACAGGTAAAAAGTCTCTGGGTCTTAGAACACGGGGATTTACTCGAAGTACATGTATAATGGTCTCGCTATTTATCACCGCTATAAAAGCTTCCAAACTGAAAGCATGCCAAAAAAATTTCATTCAAGAACACCACTATTTACCTCCGCAATTACGAATGAAAGGTAAAAAGGCCTTGGTGACCCGAATCATGCCCCACACATTGACCTCTGCCAGTCTCTTGTATCTGTCAAGCGACACCCAATCCACTTCACCCCAGCATGCCATTCCTGCATTGTTCACCACTCCCCACAGTACTGGAAAGAAGATGGGCACATTTGTAATAGGAATGTGGTAATACATACAACATCACTTATCAGTACACCCATATCACAGTATATTACACGGCATGTTGGAACAAAGCCCGTCCGACAAATTGTGTGGTATAAGAGTAGTTTATTTAAATTGAAAAACATTTTCCAATGATGCACACGGTTTGAAAGAAAAACTTAAAAAAAAAACACTACTCCCATGTTCACATCACTATGATTCGGTGTAATTTAATAATAGTATGAGAGAAAAATCTCCCACAGAATCCATTAATATCACTAAAATCCTAAAAGCCTTTCTTCACAGGTTCAGAGGCAAAGACACTTCAAGGGACGCCAATTCATTCAGATAAACTGCAAATTTATATTGATCTTCAAAATAATGTCCGAAGTCTTACCGTCTCCCGTTGCAGACAGAGAATCCCTTACATATGAGACTGCCCGTGAGACCTGTAGGTCACTCGTCACATCAAGCTGAACCACTTCAAGCCTCTTGGAACATTCGGCCGTCAGCCTGAGAGCCGCTGAATCCTCAGCAAAGAGACACCCCGCGAACACGCGGAACCCCAAGCTGTCCAGATGCCGAGCCAGCGCATTCCCGATACCCGTGTCACAGCCCGTGACCAGCACGGCTTTGCCCCGGACACTAGAGATTTTCCCTCCGGTGTACCAACTGGAAATGAGGTAGGAAAGGCCCACGGCTAGGAAGCAGCCGACAGACTTCGTGAGCAATTCATGACCCAGGTGAGGTACGATCAGAATTAGCGAACTACCCAAACAGAGTGCGAACACGGCTACCTTCCGCAGGCTGGCGGCTGCCATTTTGCGCAGATGCAAATGCAGTAGATATAATAGGTATTGTGGCCGACCTATTTTTATTCTTTGCATAAGGAGATCATTACTGAGTACAAAGTACGGGGGCGTTAGAGTTTATTATTGCTTCTGTGAGTACATACAAAGGCTCAAGGGATTGAGTTGTCAGGAAATAGGGATTTGAAGGCTGTCGTCATCACCAAGTCACACAAACACACTCTGCTTAGCTAGCCAAAACATCCAAAGTATTTCATAATTGTTAATTAACAAGTGACTCAAAAGTCACAATAATAGTAGCTCGACGTGAGCATTTATGAGCAACACATATCAGAGACTGCATGTGTTGGTATTCTGAAAATGATTTTAATTGAGCTTTTTGCTTTTTCAAAGTATAATCAAGTTCAGAAAAAATACCGTCTCAAAGCCAGCTGAAGCAGAAAAAAATACTCTAGTAGACCTATCTAGAAATAAATATCATTGCATTTCGAAACACAAAACTACACCTACAAATAAAACACTTTTTAAAAGTAATTGGCTAGATGCTCCGTGATATTCATCATTATCATCACTAAATTAATATAAAGAATGCAGGACTTTGCACAGTTTTTAGCACAATAATATTTATGATTAGTTAAATCTCCTCCTCGTCTGAACGTAGAGTTTCAGTTATGGCCAATCTCACGTTGCCTCTGCATGTACAGTCCATTTCAACGCTGTCAAAGTGCTAACAAATGCCAGATAGATACGCGCTCGACTTACGAATACCAAAGGTTTTCCCAGACGATCTGTGTACTGAGATATTAGATGAAACAGTAGACACTACACGTGTTCATGAACCTCGATATGTTCACTAGGATGGCTCGACCGTTTAAACTCCAGTCGCTTTATCAACCAACATGGCATAGGCCAATTTGTAGAGATTGTCTGTCACGGTGACGGGCAAGTAGCGGAAAAACCAGGTCAGAAGCTTCGACAGAGTGTTGCTCGGGGAAAGCCTGTCTGGCGGATTCACGTCGATGAGGGCGTCCTCAACAGCACTTAAGACCGGCTTCAAGTCTGGGGCGCTGGTAGTGGTGGTACTCTTCAGCACCGTCAGCACGGTGTTAAAGTAATCCTCACCGTAGACTTGCTTGACGTGGTCTGGTGTGTTAGTCCAAACCGTGTCCAGCATCCTATCGATGCTGTCCCCATCGAAAGCTTTAGAAAATGCTGCAAGACCAACAGAGACAGAATTGTACTTGACGTTTATCTTTTGTATTTCAAATGACGGACTGCACTCACAGGATTGTGACTAATATCAAATTCCATTTCTCATTTCATATTCAATTATTTCTATTCGAGACATTCCACGAGTACGTCCTCAGTGAGCTAAATACTAGCCTGCTCCTCTCATATTTGATCCTTAATAAATCTGGAACAAGCTTGTTTGGAATTCGGTCAAGGGAAGGTAGTGAACAACATTCAAGTCTTATTTTGAAAAACATGAGGGTAATTTAAAAACCAATTGTCCCAATGAAATCAGAGACCATTTTGTGGGTCAGATTCACAAGGAATTGTCGGCGTACCTGAATAGTTGCCTGGTTCGATGATGACCGCCTTCACTCCCCACTTGTCCATCTCGAGGCGGAGACAGTCCGAGAACGCCTCCACTCCGAACTTGGAGATCGCATACGGGGAGCCCGAGGGAGCGGCAAACAGCCCCTGCGCGCTGCTCATGTTCACAATTCGGCCTGGAACGAGTACAACAGCGACTTCAGCCTGGTGTTTGGATACAACAACAGCACAGAGATGCACGCACGGATCTATACACAGCTAAAAGGATGAACCCCTGCACTTCTCTGCTCTGCAGACAGAGCTAGTTCAGACATTTCCCATGTAAGTAAGCTACAGTAACGTACAGACATGCTACCTTTAATCCAACTGTTCTGAAGGCAAACAAACCTTTGCATTTCCGAATCATGGGAAGGAATGCCTTGGTCACTCGGATCATCCCCATTAAGTTGACCTCCATGACTTGTCGGTAACTATCCAATGACAGCCACTCTATCTCCCCGAGAATTAAAATGCCAGCATTGTTCACGACTCCCCACAGCACTGTGAAAAAAAGAAATATTTATATAAAGTTTCTAATCAGTGAAAGATTTTTTTTTATTCTCGGCGTTTAATAAATCTTAAACACATTGTCAACGATTTAGGACCTTCGAGGGGAGTTACCGTGTGAAAGTGTAAGATTTTGCTAAATTTACTTCAAGATAAGCAGGAACATAAACCCGAGGACTGAGAGATGAGGGATGACATAAATTAAGAAAAAAACTGCCCATGACTAACAGTGGGGGTGCTCTTCATGATACATCAAAAGTGTATTAGCCACTGCACCTTTTCTCCCCTTTGCAGTACGTACATGCGTTGAATACATTTTGGTTGTTTGAAAGTTCGAAAACTCCCTAAAAATCTGGAGTTTTCTTACTCATCATGAAAACGTGGGTTCGTGTACGTAGTGGTTCTTTCCTCGCTTTGCACTTAAGATGAGACGCGGGCTCGAGTCCTGGCTTGGCCCAGGCTTTTAATGCATTTTTTTCCACTGTCCACACTCGCTCTCGCAGGTTTTCTCCGGGTACTACGGTTTCCTCCTGCTTCCAAAACTGCACATTATTCCTGACTCCGTAAAGTGATGTTGATCGATAAAAGGTTACGTAACTATAAACGTAAAGCTATTGGCGCAAATAGCCCGAGTTGCTGAAAGTGCCGTTAAAACAAATATAACTATTTCAGTCTGTGCACAGCTACTGATTTGCATCCAAATTCGCTGCCCATGACATAAACTGAGACTTGAGGTCAGAGCACCAGTCAGTCTCCGCTACCCGGTTTGGGAGTCTGTTTATGACATACGGCACGCCTCAATTGACATCCGTAACACAACAGGAAGGGAGGCGTTTAGTGTTTGACCTCATTCGGAAGGAGCATAATTTGTTTTCTCCTTTTATTTTCCTTCCTTGCCCTTCTACTTCAAACCTTCTCCTTTGTTACACATGTTTTGTTTTGTCATAGCGGTTGATCATCGATCGATCGATTGACCAAAAGTGGGCCTAGCTGACTATAAAATGTCTGACGCAACACTAAAATAAATAACTCATGCCTCGCTATATACACGATCAACGGAACTACAATGTACATGTACATCGTGCAACCTTAATGTAAGTGATGGACCTGGATATTTTTCTCATACAGTGTGCACCATTCGTGCGTGAGCCTGATCACAAATAACAAAGCTTACCATCCCCTGACACCGAGACAGCACTCTGTACAAACCGAGCCACCCCGACCACCTGCTCGTCACTAGTCACATCCATCTGGACCACTTGCAGCTTCCTGGAGCACTCCTCTTTGAGTTTTCGCGCCCCTTCACCGGTCTCAAATAGACAGCCAGCGAACACCCGGAAGCCTTGCTTGTCCAGGTAGCGGGCCAGCGCGTTGCCAATCCCCGTGTCGCAGCCGGTGACAACCACAGCCTTGCCGGCGACCTGTAACTTGCCTTCTTTCACATTGACGGCAATGACATAGGCCAGAATGATTGAAACGATGTAGCCGAAACATCTGGATAGGAGCTCTTGTCCAATGCGCGGAACAACATATTTTGCAAACACGAATGCCGACAAAAGAAAAACAGCTAGGTTTTTTATCGTAACGGCAGCCATTTTTTCTACAACCACTGGGGCTTCTTACTACGGTTACACTTTAAAGCAAAATTTATCGTAAAATGCACATGCATGCTGTCTTCTTTGGCCAAGCGTTAATTCACGCTGAGTGATTATAAACTGCACGGCCGGGTGAACAGTTCAGAGCCCCATTTTGCGATCGCTTGGCAACGCTGTAGTATGATTGTACTATAAAGGCACATGGTATTTCATCAGCATATCTGCAAGCCATGCCGAATACTTTACTGTACAACACTGAAAAGCGTATAGACACATTCCATCGTCACTCGCACTAGATAATAATGCTTTGTACATGTACAGTACATATGTCACTATTTAGTATGCAAAGGTGACCTACGGATACCCAATTGTGCCATGTATAGGCTTCTTTTGGGGAGTATATATAGATTCCTCATGTTGTACAGTTTACATTGTGATGTACCAGGTTTATAGTTTAGAAGACACTGCAGATTGCATTTGCATCCAACAGGGGATGGAATTGGCTCTGTAAAATTATTTTCTTTCCAGTCATCCCAGAAAATCCAATAAATGCAACTGTGCTTTTGCATTGTTTACAGTATCTGGATTGTCTGGCAGGAAACTGCTGCCACGTTTAATAGACTCTTGAAGAGTCTATTAAACGTGGCAGCAGTTCCCAACATGAAAGGTTGACCCAAGGCCTAACATATTTTTCATTTCCCCCCTTTTCAGTGAGGTTCAAAGCCCATGCACGGACTAAAACGATATGGATCCGATGTTCATAACACGCTGTTGGATTGACCTTACGTGGACTCGTTCTAACTTGAACGCACAGCCTTATTGACAATAATAATAATATAGATTATATAGCGCACCTTTCTGGAAAACCGATCAAGGTGCAATTCCGTTATTGTTATATACCCCCTGCTCATTGGGTCCATGAAACATTCCAACTACCATCTCAGCTCCCTGGGAAGTATACAAGCTCAATGCATGCTATTCGGCGCAATGCAGACAACCACAATAACTATCTCTGCTCTCTCCTCACAGATACCCAATTGCTCCTGGGTGGAGAGAGGCAATGAGTGACAAAGTGCACAAGCACCATTTCCCCAGGTTGGATTTGAGCCCGCCGCAACCTTCTGCTTTAACCGCCGACTACGAATCCGCTCTTAACTGCAAGGCCAGAACATCCGACTTCTCCCTCAAAATATTACTATCACGTACTGAAACATAGCGTATATAGGACATGATTGAAAAAAATTGTGCCTGCTATTTCGCCCGGGCGGATTACTATTTCTTCCGTGCGGATTAGTATTTCGCCCGGGCGGGTTACTATTTCGCCTGGGCGGGTTACTTATTTCGTCCGGCGCTGATTAGTATCCCAAGAGACTGGGTGTATATAATCGCTCACTTTTTGTAGGGGATGGATCATCCCCAACGTTTTCGTATAAAGAAAACAAAACTTTTGAGTGTAACATTTTTTATTCAAAATCACTTCAATTACAAAATGTGCTTTTCGGGGGGGGGCACAGATTGGGGTTGGGGGAAAGGGCAAAATGATTTTTTTCTACAAATTGCCGTCCATTTTTCTTTGTTATGTCCCCCGCCCCAAAAATAAGGCTGGGGCGGTTTCCGCGCGCACTTCATTTTTCTCTCCAGCCTCACATTGCATTTTTCATGCTTTGGGTCTTCCAGACTTTTTGAGTAACTCATTAAAGTCATTTTCACCTATTTTTTGAGAGTCGGACCTGCTAAGCTCGCGTAGTGTTCATTTTCCCGAAGCAGCCAAAAGTGTATAAGGAAGATGCCCCCTTGGCTGTAAGTGGTCCTCCATACTTCTGATTTTTAGGGTTAAGAGTGAAGTAATGTTCGCATGAATTCCTTTTGAAAATTACAAGGAAAAGGAATGGCTTTAAACGTCGTTAGAAATCGTGTTGTTAATTTATTACAGTGAACCGCTACGCTAAATCATGGTAAGCCAGTGCTACACTAAAAGCTGTACTACGATTCACCTATGTACCGTCCATCACAGTTGTGAAAATCTGTTGATCTTGTGATAACATTACTTTGAAGTTTGATCGAATTAACAATAAAATTGATTTCCCGTGTTGTAAGCTACAGTAACGTACAGAGTAACTAGAGACGTGCCACCTTTAATAATTCAATTGTTCTGAAGGCGTATAAACCTTTGCACCTCCGAATCATGGAAAGGAACGCCTTCGTCACTCGGGTCATCCCAACCAAGTTGACCTCCATGACCTGTCGGTAACTATCCAATGAAAGCCACTCTATCTGCCCGATCATAACAATGCCAGCATTGTTTACGACTCCCCACAGCACTGTTACAACAAGTATAAAAACTAACTTTCGTCTTTGTGGGTGAATTTTAACCAATCAACTGTGGCGGTTTCCTGACCGCAAATAACGTGGGCTACTGCCCGTAGCAGCCTGCTACCCCCCCCCAGCTCTCGTTTTTTATGACAAAAAACGCAAAACCTATTATAAAGAGTAAGTTAGGGCAGGATTAAGGTACCAACTTTTACGACAGTGTGCTGGTAATGACATTCGTTTCCTATAATTTCTATGAAATCCCGGAATGTCAAAATTTGATTAACAAAGTGAAATGCGTATAGCAGCAGTGACCGGTCAACACAGAATGTTGTAAAGTCGCCTCCATAGTATTGACACAGCGTTTCCTGGGGGCGGGCCTTGGACTAAAGTAATGTTGGAAAGTACTGTTGCCAATAATTTATTTTTCTCATTTACACAAATCCTGAGGGGGTAGGGTATGTATCTCCCCATCTTTGGTGGTGGGATGATGGGCCGTGGAATCACCCCACACCCTTTTTGTGATAAGCAAAAAAGTTGATTTGTAAAATGATTTTAATATGCTGTTCTGAGTTTGACGATTTTATGTACAATGTTTATCATGAACATTGCCCCAATAGTGCCTGGTGTGGCATTGATTTATAATATATACTGTTTCAAGACATGGTCACTTTTCCTGTATAAACTGCTTTCCCTTTTCTCTTTGGCAGCCGTTTAATAGCAAACATCAACAATCATACTGATACAAGAACGGATTAACTAATTAGCCTTGGATGACTGGTCGATGATACAATCGTGCCTGGCATTGATTTTGTTCATTAATTGCAAAACACGTTTCTTGTTTGGTGGGTTGTACATGTGATAAATTATTATCAAAAAATTACTACGCAAAGAAAGAAATTAATTCAAACTGAGAAAGAAAGAAAAATTCACCAGGAAACAGACTTTTTAAATAACCGTCTATCTACCTGTACATTGCATGGAAAAAGAGAATCAAACCCGCTTGTCTCGTGGATTGGAATATAAATGAATTTTTTTCTTGTATCAATTATCTAAAGCCGCAAAAGGCCGTCTAAAGGGTCTGTTTCTGCCATACCCAAATATTTGAAATCCGCTGGGGACCTAAATTCTATAAAGCTGTCTGGGCCTCAGTTATTCGTCCCCCAACTATGTATTTGTATAGTGAAAGGTTTTAATGAAGGGTCAAAAATTTTATCAAATAAGCTTTAATTTAAAAGTGTTCTGAATTAAGAGGGGCTTATTTTATTCACAGAGCTACAAGAAAATCATTCCATTAGGATCTTACAATGACGATTGAAAACTGTAATTACAAAGGACTAGGACAAAAACTGGCAGTCAAATTTGTTACATTTTGACATCTCAAGCTCTCATTCATCACATGGTTTTCCCTATTTTACAACTCCTGATATTCGGTTTCCATTCATTCCAAAGACCTTACTTATGGAATCTATATGGGATTTTTCTTGCAAGACAATGTTCTGAATTATATATTTGAAATAGGACTCAGTTGACCGAGTCCTCAGTTTCAAGACATTAAGGCTTCCTTTAATTGTGGACAGTTTTAAAGTCACATTTACCGTTTAATTGTGTTGAAGCACGGTTGCCGGTGAAAAAGGGGATGCGAGTGGGCTTAGAAAGGGATGCAAATTGCCTCGCTGGATTGACCATGTCAGATGGGGCTGGTTGCCGGTGAAAAAAGGGGATGCGAGTGTGCTGAGAAAGGAATGCGGATTGCCTTGCTGGATTGACCGTGTCATACTGGGCTGGTTGGCGGTGAAAAAAGGGAATTCGAGTTTGGGGTGGAATTTTCATTCTAGTCAGTAGGGGGCGCATGCCTAATATGAGGTGACAATTCGATTGAACCTGTAGAAGTACCCTTTTCGTCGCAATTATTTCTAACGTTACATTCACTTCTACACATGAAAATAATACCAAAAATATACCTCTGATATAAAGGAGATACGATGACGCCGCTATAACATCTTAGATAAGAAGATGGCTTCAAAATGTCTGTAGTTGTAATCACCAGCATGCACTTCAATGTTGCTACTGGGAAAACGATTTAATAAACTTCACTTAAAGTTTGCCTTGGCCAGATACTGAAAATTATCGGTAACTGTTACATCAATACAGAACAGCAAAAGTGAACACCTTAAACATTAGGTTTTTATTGAATTTACATTTCCAGAACTAAATTAAAAATTAAACAGTTTAAATTGATACGGCGATGAAAGATTTCTTTAAGTTAACTACTTGTTTAACATACAGTTCAGCTGATTTTTCTGTCTCGGTCAACATTGTTACATTATTTGTGATCTTCCAGATTCAAAATGAATGAAACAACCCTCCAGATACACGAAACAGGAAATATTCAGACTTGGAGGTACAGTTGTGACATTTCATATAAATGACATGTAAAAACTACCCAGCAATAGTTGCACTAGCGCTAACATCCCTGTTTTGTATTTAAGTCCGTTCTTTTGATGACCATGCTTGAACTGCTAAATGACAAAATCATTGAACAATGATAGCAATATTCATGTATGCTCTCTTTTCAACGTTTCTTTCATCTAGCTTGTAATTCAATTGTTGCATGCGTACTGATATTCAACGTTCCATCGAAATGTGTTAATGAAATTTCAATTTCAGCATTTTTCTTTTGTTATTCTTATGTTTGTACACAGCCCATCCCACGAAATAAGGGTTTCTATTAAAGAAAGTGTGGGTTTTAAATTACCGAGATGAAACCCACTCCTATTCGTTTATTTATTATCAAACAATACCACCTTGCATGAACACGATCAGCCAAGTGGGGAATTAATAAGTAGTATAGTTTGAATTCACCGATGCATGTCGGGTCGTATCCCTTGACATATTTTTCCATTTATACGCACTGCGTATCCTGTGTTGTTTTACAGACTTAGCATATTTTTATTTGCGACAACAAATTGTTCTAGCGTATCCTGTCAATACTCAACCCTCCAATCAGTCCATAAGTTTGAAACAAGATGCAACAACTACCTCTGTGCTTAGGGTGAAGAATAGCTAACTCTTGCATTCATCTTAGCTTTCACAGTGGCAGTTTGTCTTCTAGGAGCAAAGAAACCAGGCAATAGTTGTCGGAGATGCTCGATTATTTCCATGGAAACATGGAAATGCCGTGCAGATTTAACTTAGACAACGTCATCATACAGAGAAAATCCATTTCTCGATTCTATCATCTTCAAGATAGAAATTATGTCGCCTTTCGTGAAGGCCATTCCAAGCAGCCATGTTTTCATTTGTTTCCCCTTTCTGCAGGCTACAGTCAAAGCCATACGTAGTAAAAAATATTCTTTCTCACCAAAATTAATGTCGGGTGCAATGCCCATGACACTCTCCCTCTGCTGCCGTAATCTTTTGGCAATTTCTCTGGATCGGCAGTCACAGTTTCGGGGATCTGAGTTGTTGCATCTTTTTCCAATACCGGTAACTGTCTTATGCAATGACTTGTTGCTTTTCCTCTCTGCGCCTCGCTTTCTGATGTGATGTGGAAGTGCACCATTTCCAATTTTGAACAATTTGGAACTGTCAAGAATGGAGTCATGAAGCTTTGATCATTGTCGCAAAGTGTAACCCTTTCCGAAGTGAGCGAATTACACAAAGGAAAGAGCTTTGTTGCAGCATAAAGTATACAACTTAATGAGATAAGGAACTAATAAAGTTGGCGTTATAACCCGGAAAGGGTTACAGTTTGCGACAATAAACTAAGCTTCATGAGACATGACTCTCTTTCGTGTTATTGAGTTCAGCTGGGAAAAACCTATAGCGGATGAATGGGCATAATAATTGTTTGAAAATGTCATTACTTTTCCATGGACGACTGGAATTACTGATGTAATAATTTCGATGCGGAGCCCATAAATGGATCAACATTCACACCCATAAATTTCTGTGATCACGGTTTGTAAATTTACAAATACAACTAAACGAAAACAAACAGGATGAGTTGTGACATACAAGGTTGGGGCAATCAAGCTGGTGAAAATGTTGGCAAAAATCCCCGCTGCACGAAGTTTCTAATAGTAACTGTCCACACCCATGACGAAACATCATGCATTTACTTTTTATTTACAACCGACAGAAAAGTGGAGGGTTAAAACGAGAAGAGGTTGAAACAGCCTTCTGATACCATCCTGGTCACCGACATAATCAATGTGCACTGTCAGCATGCATAAACACATGTACAGTACAGTGTGTTCAGCATGCCCTGCGGTTTCAGCAGTCGCTGACTCTGCTCTCCCCTGTGGCTGCCGAGTTAATTGAACGTGGTTAGGAGTAGATACTTGCGGTCTGACAGGGTTTGTGCATAAACCCCTTGTGCAAGGGGTGTTTGTGTAGAAGTATTAAGGTACCAACTTCTACCACAGTGTGCTGGTAACTGGTAATGACGGTAAACTTGAGATCTTGCATATTTTACACACTGGGTCGTTTCAGTTGCCCTCAAAATGAATTTAAATTTGTGTGGTCTGCTCCAGCCAAAACCTAAACCTCCTCATGAAATCCCTTGCAACATGAATGGAAGGGTAGTAAAGTTTGACGTCATTCTGAAGATAAATATTCATTTTGCATTCGTTCTTTTTCTCACAAATTAAAACTCCCTTCCTCCGTTTTTCTTTATTGATGAGCTGTCCTCTAGTTTAATCAATTGATTATTGATTGATGGTCGATTACTTGATTGATTTGATTGGTTGGCAAGTAGATTGATCAGGCGCGGGACGTCCTCAATATATCCGTGGCAAAAGGAAGGGCGGAGACTAAAGTGTTACGTCATTTCAAAAGACGATACATTTTCTTCCAGTATTCGTTTTTTTTTTGCTCACGAAATTATCAAAAATGTCTTCCTCCTTTGTTCTTTATCCGTCGACTATTGATTGATCGACGATTGCTTGATTGATTGATTTGCTTGATTGGTTGGTTGATTGATTAGAGGCGAGATCAGTTAATCAGTTTCTTTTATATTCTTTCCATCGCAAAATCTGAATACTCCAAAACGAGCTGCAGCATGGCACAATCAGTGTTTTACGTAGGTTTGTTTTTTGTTTTGTTTTCACAACCTTGCTTGGATATCGTGCCTGCAACATTCAAAGTCACAAAGCTTAACATCCCCTGATACAATTTTTTTCAAACCAAGCCACCTTGGCCACCCGCGCGTCACTAGTCATAATTATCCATCCGGACCAATTTCAGCTTTCTGGAGCACTCCTCTTTGAGTTTTCGCACCCCTTCGCCGGTCTCAAACAGACAGCCAGCGAACACCCGGAAGCCTTGCTGGTCCAGGTAGCGGGCCAATGCGTTACCGATCCCCCCCTGTCGCAGCCGGTGACACAAATGCCAACAAAAGAAAAACGACAAGGTTTTTGATGGTTATGACGGCCACTTTTCTTGATACCAAAAGGAGGATTCTATTTCACTATGGAGGAAGAACCAGACTCCAAGCACCTTATCAGAGCGCCACGTACAAGTTTGTTACAGATGTCATTAAATTCATACATTTAAGCCTACATATTTCATTGTTTGGATGGATACAGTTACTGCTCAATATTGAGTGCCCAAAGGTTAAGTGCCATCTGGAGTTTGCCTCATGATCAAAGGCTAATCCTTCTGATTAAAAAACGGGAGAAAAGATTATCAGCGACTTACGGTGCATAGTTGCGTAAATAATTTGCGCGCTGAGCGGTATCATTTTAGCATCCCATCATGCACACATACAGGCAGTATAGGAATTGCCTCAGAGCAAGTGGTGTATATTTCTGCCTGAGACTGGGGATGAGGACGGCTTAAATCGAAAATTAACCCCGCCTTGAAATTCCAAAGGCCGGGGGGGGTATTTGCATGACACCACATAACACTTGGCACTTGGGGACGCTGTTCATGATACCATATGTCCATCTATGTGAATTTACACACCTATCCTTTACACTAAAATGGCATATTTGATAAAGTTGTTTGTGGTTTCCAGTACCATTGAATACATTTTACTTAATGGAAGTAAAAGACCTTAAAATCCCAGCCTTTTTTCTCACCACAAAAAGTGGGGGAACGATCCACACAATCCACCAGTCACAAAGTGGGGAGGGGAGGATATACAGGTATTTCCCTATTCCGCCAGAATTTTGCGGTCTCTTCAAAGCTGCAATTCTTCGTGTGGTGATCGATGTCTTCACGTGATGATCGATCATCTCATCTTTCGTCTGCTTAATGAGAAGCAGACTGAAGATGAGATGATCCTGAAGCAGAAATCGATAAATGGCGAAATCTTCAAGCACCGGCGTCCCTTGAGCTAACAGTTACTATTGCTTTAAAGGTGATTAACCCTAACAGCTCTGAATCCTCCAATTTTAATATGATTTTGCACATACCCTAGAGAGTTAGGGATTTCTTGTATTCTTAGAAATAAAGCCTGAAAGTAACGCGGAGCTTCCAGAACCCTCGCGCGGCTCGCCAATGGCCGGAGGTTTACATGGGGCCACCATGTCAGTTCTATAATTAAAACTAACTTAATTTCAACTTTAGATTTGTTCCCTAAATTCAATAACTGACTTAATATAAATATATATAAGATATATATCCTAAATATTGAAAATCTTACCTTTTACTGCATTGGAGGTGAAAAGTCATGAAAACTGTTAATAAAGCTCCGTTTCATGTGTTGTAAGTCTTTAATTAAAATAAAATACAGTCAAATTGTTCCTTTAATCTTTGCAACCTGGGAAATCTTGGCGTTTTACAATAGCTTTTTTTATTTTGTGGAGGATGTACAGACAAAATGTATGAGGCTCTTGCAATTTTGGCAGTTGTAGAGCGGCAAGTGTTTTTTATTTTAAAACAGGATAGGATGTTTCCTAAGTAGGTTTTATGCTGGAAACAACACAGCTTCCCACAAAAAGCCTCGTGATTGTAAACACTGAAACCATATATTAATATTGTGATGGGCTTTGACCTTACGAATATTTTAATCATTTTTTTTTTTCATATAACTGACGCAAAGTACTAGTACATCTTCAGCATTGCCCATATTTGGTAATTACCAATTTTTGTTGTTTTTCCGATTTTTACCTTAAGTTACATCAAGGACGTCTCTGGGATTTTTTTCCCGAGGAAGCTAGGTACCAATTTTACAGGGGGGGTCCAGGCGTGGGAAGGCCAAGAAAGTCATTAGTAACGAACTGATAAACCACTGAAACTGCAAGGTGGTGAATTTTTTCAGCACATTCTTCATATCTCTCTTTTTCTTATGTATTTTTATTTTGGGGGGAGGAGTAACCCCCCACACCCATGCTACATTATCAAGTCAATCACAATGAAGATGAAGGTCAAACCTTTGCTGTGGTTATTGTCAATGCTAAAAAAAACTTTGGTTTGTATACTACCTTGGTTTATATGCGGTTAACTTGCAAAACAAAGAGTTCCAAAAACGTCAAAACATAGAATAACATACATGTGGCATTAGTAGCGTCACCAAGATCGTTGTTTCCTTAGAAAATGAAAGCACCAGAATAAGAGAGAACGAACTCCCCGTCCTTTCTTTGGCGGGGGTGAGGTTTCTTTCACATGATGAAAAAAATGGACCTCGTTTTTGCGAAATGACCCAACACTTGCTAAATTATGAGCATTACATAGCACGCAGGGAGACTTCAAAATCATTCTTGAAAACCAAAAATATATTGTTTTATAGATATACAGTACCGTATTCTTGTCATAGACTTCAAATGTGTGGATCATTTTTGGCATTTCGTGATTGTTTTTTTTTTCTCTTGCTGTATTCATCAACACCACTCAGGTTTCCAGTCTTTTCATAATGGTTCTTGTTGGAACATAGTCATACTGGTGCTGGAAATTAACGGGCCATAGTATGATCGTGATGCTAGGTGCAATAGATTCATGCTGCGTCATTGCTGACCTTGTAAATGTCCATGTTACTGTTGAGGGCATATTTTGTACATTTCACTTTTCGGGAAGAAGTATTTTTTGTTTTTCTTTTGTGAAGAATATCGTCATCAGTTCATGTAGTTGATAAATCAATCACTGGGAAGATCAAAACGTATCATATTTATTATTTGTTTTTCCATTTTTACTAAAGTCTTCGCTATCAAATCCGTAAAAGGAGGAATGAAATTAAAACCATCTCGAACACTAAGCCAAAACGGTGATCACGGAAACTTAGTCCATTCACGTTGAAAACTCTCCAGTAGCTTCATTTGTCTTTACTAGTCAACATGAAAACCTTGTAAAAATAGTCCGTCAAGGTGGCAGGAAAGGTGTGCACAAAAAAGGCAAAAAGCTTTGGTTCAGCAATTAAGAGCCTGTCTGGCGGATTCACGGCAATGAGGGCGTCCTCAATACCACTCAAGAGAGACTTCAAGTCGTGTTGAACACCCATACTTCTTTGAGTCTTCACCAATTTCAGCAAGTTATTGAAGTAATCCTCGCCGTATACTTGCTTTATGTGGTCCGGTGTGCCACTCCAAACCAAGCCCAGCATCTTATCAATGTTGTTTCCTTCACCGACTTCAGAAAATGCTATAAAATCAAGAAAAGAATGCTAAACTTGATTTATCAGCCATTCTACATGGCGGGCCATCTTTTTCTTACGGGGTGCACTGTCGAAGCCACCAACTCATTTATCTGTAGGTTTTGGTATTTTAATCAATCAATACAATTCTAAGGTTTTTTCGTTTTTGTGAAATAGTCAATGGAGTCCTAATTGGTTTTCCTATTGATAATTTGCCATCCTTGGAAAATCATTGAAAAAGCTTACGTGAATATCGGCTAACTTGAACTGGGCAAAAATATAATCACTAGCCACCTTAGTTGAAATTTCAAATAATTCGACAATTTACTAATGCACTGCTGTGACACCTGAAAAATTTCCTGGTTGGATGATGACCGTTTTCACTCCCCACTTGTCCATCTCAAGACGGAGACAGTCCGAGAACGCCTCCACCCCAAATTTGGAGATCCCGTACGGGGAGTAATAGGGGGCGGCATGTAGCCCTTGCGCGCTACTCACGTTAACTATTCGCCCTGAAATAACATAAAAATTGGAAAGTTTAATGTAATCACAAGCATCAAAAACATTTTGAGCTGATTGGTCCAGATACCGTCACATGGATGGTTTCTATTTATCAAATGTTTACAACCATAAACGATGCCTCTGAATCCGGACAAACATATGTTGCTTTCGACGTTTTATACATGAAAATGTTGACTTCAGGTAAATTAAGACACATCCTTTTTGGGAGGGGGACATGTATAAACCTTATCAAGAATCGTCGTCCAACCAGAGAGAGTGAATTACTTATGACAACCTTATGTACAGGGCGTCCCCAATTTGTTTATTCCCAAAGTTTGCTGTTAAACTTGGAAAAAGGGTCACATTAAATTCCAGAAACGTGTAATTTTCATCAGACTTAACAAAATCGGTTTATATTTCATCTAAATTGATAATTTGTTATAGTTGAAGTTGCACCACACTTAACTTGTGCACTGTGCTTTAGAGTTGCAGCAGTATTGATTGTGGTAACAGCAAGATTCAATTTTAAGAGAATTTTATCCGATAGAATGTATGTGTTGGGATAGGAGTTGGACATTCTGAACAAATGTTACTCCCCGTTATGTTCATATGACAGTGCAAGAGTTTTGGGGATAAACCGAGAGTGCATAAGACTACAACGCTGTAAGATAGAAATGGCGGATATAATTTACGTTAACATCATCACCAGCGTCAGAAGCGTATACAGCTTGTGCTCTGATGGGAGAGCAACCTCCCTTTTAGCTTATTTTGTAGTGTGGGCTTTGGTGGTAATATTTGATAAATTAATATTTTTATTAAGATTTGACAGAGTTGTAGACTCGAGTCACTTGACTTGGACTTGAGTCAGACTTGAGTCGCTATTTTTGTGACTTTTGATTTGAATTGTAACTATCGGGTCATGACTTGTTACTTGACGTGGATTTGTAAATATTGACTTCTTACCACCTCTGAGATTTGATAACAAAAAATCCGTAGGGTGGGGGGTGGGCAAGTTTCCCCGGCCCACTGCTAGATACGCCACTGCCAATGAAGGACACTGTCAGTAATTGAGGATCAATGAAATCAGCCAAATAAGACATGCCAGTTAATAGTTCAAAGAGGACATCAACATCGAATCAATCCACCAAAGATGGCTGCATGGACAAAAGTAGACCAGTGGGACTGAAACAGATCATGCAGTGTGACGTTCATGCAGTGTCGCGTCCATCGAAAAATATCGAGAGACAAGGGGAAGACCTGAGATTACTAAGCTGAGGAAGAAGTAGCTCAAGAACAAGTAGGAACTGGAGAAACAGAAAATGATGCTGGAGATGAGTTCAACAACAACAATGTCATGATTGTACATGCATGCACGGGTTGAACTGTACTAGTCATGCACAGTGCCCTCTGTTGACCAGTGCACAGAATAAACAGTAGTCTATGTTAGTGGATTCTGTCTATTGGTAGCCATCTTAATGGCTAAGTACTGTATGTGACAAGACATCAACTTCCGAATATGGAGGATAAATAGGAGCGGGCACAGTTAGAGGCAAGTATTTAGGAGGAACAAATGCAAGTAGAGGATGAAGCCACAGTTGACAGACAGGATCTCACGCAAGTGACCGACGCAAGTGAAAAAGTCACAAGTAGTGCTGCTGAGTGACCATCAACAGTGATGATTAAACATGGGCTAACATAAATGATTTACGCAGCACGTTTCCTTCAGTAGTGCAGGGGAGAGTGGCACAACACTGCAATAACCTCACTGTATACTCCAGTGTCAAATGAGATTGCCACATTGCCCACAGCAGTCTCACAGACTGTTCCAGCATCAAATGATCTCAAAACTGTGCCAAGCCTCACCACCATGACCATTCAGAAGCCTGACATGAAGTCTCTCGGCGGAGACCAGCTTAGCATTTGGCATTTGTGCTCACTTTAGGTCATGCATAATAAATTATAGGCTCTTTTCACGTACTTTTACAGGGTTTTTGGTAATCATAGTAAGTCTAACAGCTAAAAGGGTGTGTTTTTGATTATATGTCTTCATTTTATGAGTGCTCGTTATGGGGAATTATCATAAATTATGTGCAATGTAATACTAAACAAAGAGTATGAGGGAGTTTCCTGGGGTTTCTCGGAGTGACATTGTTGAGCCCCAAGGCTGGTGTGAAACGTTATTGATTACACATATCTTTTTACTTGTTTTGTGGAGGGAAACTGTAAATCATAATGTCAGCGCTACGGGTTGCAAATTGTACAAGGGATGATACGGTTAGTACATGTACATGTAACATAAGTGATATGCACATTCGTGTGCATGTGCTTGTCGAACTTAAACTGTCCCATACGTTTAAATTTAATTATAATGTACAATCAATTTTTAAAATGGAAAGATAGTTATCTGCAATTTCTTACAAGAGATTAATTTGGTATGTTGTCCAAACAGGTTTTTTTTACACTTGGCAATCGATGGCAATGAACCAGTAAAATCATTGGCAACATTAAACCTCTTCACGGAGATCCTGCCTCTTTAATGAGTCTACTACACTACCACGCTACTTCTTTTGAGAGACAGCAGTTTGGGCAGCTACACTTGATATTGCATGCCCTGCTACAGCAGATACGATAAACGAATGCGGCATCCTTTGGGACTGAGCAAGTGACTGTCCCAACTATGAACAACTATGAGAATCTGCCACACTCAGTACACAGTCATGATAAGCTCAGTCTTTACCACAGAACGAGCGCCCTCGATTGACTTATTTGTGAAACTTAGTTTTCTAGTAAATAGTCCATGTACTGATGATGTCACGTCTTGTTTACCTGTGTGCTTTCCTAATGTGCTCCACTTTACCTCCACCCCCCTTTCAATGCTGGTGGGCGGTATGTACGTCTTGGGCAACGTTGAAATGGGGGGGGGCAGATTAGTTTGTTCGAGGATATCATTATATTTCAAATGAAATTCTCAAAGCATTGTGTAACACACATTGCATGTCTACAGTTTTTGCAGATCATACGAGTCTGGCGTCGCTTTGCCTTTCACACATAAAACAATCGCGTTTCTTGACACTCCGGCCGGGATAGTGTTGATGATCTACAGGGCTGGCACCACATGATGGATGTCTAGGATGCTGTTTTGGGTTGCACTTTCTCATGTGGAAAGAAGTCCCTCCGTCAACTTGACAAGGAAATCCAAACTGAACAGGCGATTGTTTGTGGCTGTACTGTCGTAAACGATGGTAGCATTCAGCAGACAGATACCCAGGATAGTGAAGAAGTCTCTCTACACCATTTCAGCCATATGTGGTTGTGCATGTAGTGACTGTCACTTTACCCCATTAACTGATTGCAGTCGCTGACTATTGAAGGTCGAGGCACGTCACGGTATCCTGTTGAACTGTTCTTGCAGCGAATCCGTTTACTAGTGACACTGCAGTCGCCATAGTTTGCAGGAAAAGTTACATGCTTAGCGTCCTGCTGTATGACACATAGCTGGCCTGACTTCTCGTAAAATTGGGCTGATCTCCTCTCTTCATGCGAAATTTTGGGGGTTCGCCGCATTTGGTATACCTTGAGTATTGTACCCAACTGTTCCACAAGCTCCATATCCTAGTTGTGATAACTTGGAGACTAGAGCCGGGCTGTTGAACCAGTTGTCCATGTATAGATGCAATGTCCCTTGTTACAATCCTTTGACAAAGTCCACCACTATCTTCCCCTGCGCAGGTAGGGGTGGGGGTGGTCTTTTTCAGCAGAGGTAGCACAGGGTTGACTTTGCCGTGATCTGGCTTGTGCCCCTGTGAACAAAATCCAGATACTAGTGTAGCCGGTTTCTGACTCATTTAGAGAGAAGTATTTCAGTCCCAATTTTACAGCTTTTCGTGGCATGTATTGCTTGAAGCCGAGTCATCACTTGAATTTCACTTTCGTCTGGCGAGTGGTTTCTTCCGGGCCGATAGATCCGAAGGATGAATGACAATACAATATTTAGCAGAGGGCGAACTTTGGACAGCTTGTCGTGGGGCGAGTCGTCTGATTGATGAGCTCTGTTATTGGCAAGGTGACAAAACAAAAGGATTGCTGTGAAACGGTTAAGAGCCATGGTTTAAGAGAAAAGGGGACTTCGCAGAACTCCAGATCTGGACCAGTGCATGGCATATCTAGGCCTTTGGTTGATGCATGTTCAGAATTCGCATCTTGGCATGAACAGGAAAAAGGCCCTTTTTAGCTTGTTATAGTTGAGCTCTTAAACCAAACGACAGTGCGTTCGATTTAGATGTTTCCAACTTATTTGAACAGATAAAAATCAGGGAAAACATGTTTTCCCTTAGAGTTGCTCTTTAAGGAAAAGCGGCTTTTATATGCAGTGTGCTCACTCCTAGGTTGGACGCCAACCCTATTTAAGAAAGGAGCAGAAAGTTTCAGTAACCATCATGGCAATCAAGCTGAAAGACTCCAGTAGCTTTAGCACGTCTGGCGATTTTGGAGGTAGAGATTCAGGTAAGTTATTCTTGGATAACAAAGTGAGTCAATTGACGTTCAGATCTAGAGGGCAAGGTCCACCGTGGAAAGTGTGCGAGGCTGGTTGACGGCCAGTATGAAATGAGTTTGCCATGGCGAAGTGAGAATCCCAACTTGCCGGACTACCAAGCACTCTCTTTGACAAGGCTGCGTTCCCTTCAAGAGTGCCTGCAAAAGGTTGATATAACTTGTGTCGCCAGTACATGGAAACAATTGATGGTTTCATCCAAAGGGAAATGCAAGGTCGATCCCAAAAGAAATACCAACTGCTGAGACGAAAAAGGAATGACATTAGCTGCATCACCCTGTATTTCACCCTCAGAAGCCGGGCAAAATAAGAATGGTGTTTGATTCAAGATTCGGAGGTACATTGCTCTATGATAATATCCTATAGGGCCCAGATTTTGTAAGCAATCCAGTTGGTATGCTGACTTTGCGAGGCAGCAGCCGCAGCAGTACGTGATCCTCTAGATAACCCTCTGGTGTCAGTGAGTTTTGCAGAAATGGGTATCGATCCTGCCTGCCAGCTTATCAATTTGCCAGGCAAGGTAGGGTTTACACTGAGGAAATGGATCAGCAATATCCGAGAGGTTTGTGTAGCCACCTTCTGCAGTGATATATTCATGTACACAGGACTGCTACTTTGCCTAGGACTAGGTTTGGGCATTCTTGATCTTGCCTTCTGCACTGTCGAGATGGAAGCAAGTTGCCAAGTGGGAGATGATGTTTTCAGTTCGGATCACAGTGCACTCAGCGTTACCATCACCATATCACCGTCAATGAATCACGTTAAATCAAATCGAATGAACTTCAATTACCGTTCAGCAGATATGAATGACCTACAGAGGACCTGGGAGTGTGTTCCATGGTGCTTACTAGAGGCAACATCGGACTGCCATGAAGCAGCTTTACTCTTTCACGACTTTGTTGGGGCTGCCATCACAGATGTGGTGCCAGGAGTTATACCTCGCCGTACTACTCCACCGTAGTTTGATGGAGAACTCATGCAAGCTTTGAAAACCAAAGAAAAGGCTTTCAAGAAAAAACTTTCCAATTCCATCCCTAAGAATGTGCAAGCTTTCAAGAGGGCCCGCTCATCCTTCAAACAGCTAGCAAGGAAAAAGTACAGGGAGTATCAAGAGACATTAGGTGGGGACCTGGGGAGGAACCCTAAGCGTTTCTCGAGCTTCATAAAGACATGATCACGTACACGCACACTGCCCCATGGGAAAAGCAATGCCGTGTCCCAATAAGTCCAAATCAATACCACAATCGGAGCTTACAGCTGCTGTTCTCTCAGCTCATCTCAGCAAGATGGTCCTGGAAGAAGGCTAAGATTGTGATCATCCACATCGTCTTACGGACCAATTCCACTTCTCAGTTTTACAATAAACACGAATCGAGAGTAGGCGTTTCCGCGCCTTTTGTGGCAGATCTAGTCGGAAGGATCTAAGAGGCTACTGGTAAGTTGCAGTGCCAGTATGCTGACTCTGAATTCAGCCCAGCATACGAGGGGTCCAGAGGATTGGGTGCTGACAAGGTGATCTAAGAGGGCCGCTGACTAAAGGGACCAAAAGTTCTTAATGGTGATCGAGGATCATTGGCCTGTTCCCCAATTGTTCAGCGGGAACCGTACCGTATCCTGAAACCTTGTCTCTCTGGGTATGCGCTTTAAAGTTATCCAGAAGTCAAAAGAGTTATAACGCAGACAGCCTCACTACGGGAGAAATCAAAGATTGACGAGTTCCTCATGTGTTCGACTTCGATCCGACTGAAGAAAGGAGTGGCTTGACTCTTGCAATGACCTTAATGGTGAGATCCTCAAAGCAGGGAAGTTTTATATGGTGGAAGAATGCTAGGCTTCAGAATGGGAGTCTGGTCCTGGTGGCAGACGAGAATGTGTCTGGCGGTCGTTAGCCTTTGGGAAAAATATAAATCTTCCCAGACCAGGAGGGCAAGAGGTAGTAGAGGTCAAAACCAGCACCAGCCACTTGAGACGACTATTCTCCAAGCTGGGTCTCGTGGAGGAGAATACCAAAATCTAAGTTCTCAACTCTCGGACCGCGATAGGACGTCATAGAAATTTGGAAATGAACAAATCACTAGCTGATTCATTAGGGGTAGGGGATATAACTTTAACAATAATAAATTATTATCATAACCCCCATTTGTTTATCCACTAAGTTCTGGGTCATAGATTACGGTTTTTGCCGCTGCAAAATGATCATGTTCAATTCCAGAGCCAGATGTAATTGGTCTAATTTGCTATCAATCATAAAATGTAAACCTTAAAGAGTTCATGTAGGTAAAACTTCGGGAAATTTCAAGGGTTGTGAATTTGTGTCGCTTCTTACGTCTCTCTTGGGGTAGGGGGTCGCTATCGTAAAGAATGAGAGTCATTGGACTGACGTATACACTCACTACTGTTTTATTACAAAAATTATTATTATTATTATTTATAATGAGCAACTGCTACTAGTAAGGCTGGATATTACTCAAGTACTGCTCGTCCAAATCTGAGCTATTTATTCGGGAGTGTTAGAAAGGTTGGTCATATCGGAGCTATACACTGACAAATGGTCAGGGAGTTGTTTCTTCAAAGCTGCCCGCTCGGGAATGATCGATACTGACCGCTGGAGCTGGTCACTTTATATAGACTTTTGGGGCCGCGTCTTAGACGATGGGAGCAGTGGATTGGGGTGGTTGTGAATAATTCATACATGTACAAAGTCTTTGGAAGAAAAGTCTATGGGGATTTTGTACACATTTGGTCTTCGCTAACTTAGTTTCTGGCGAGCGATGAGGTCCGAGAAGTTTGGGAGCGGGAGGGTGAAAGGCTGTTCGTGGGTGAGCTGCGGGGGACTTGGTCAACCAGGGAAAGGAAAGGGTGAGCCTTTCTCGGTACATTGGGTTGTGTACAACACTTGGTCTCTGGGTGGCTGGGAAATCTACACGTAATTCTTACGGGGTAAAACTGGGGGTGAGCGGAGGTAATTGAGCTCGCTATGTCGTGACCGAACTCAGGCTTTCGGTGTGTGGTTTGGTGGGACACATACGGTATGAGTTTGGGGTCTGTGTGGGTCGAATGTACGGGTTATATGTGCAACTGAAAGTAGGATCGACTCCGAGCAAGATTTGGTGGAAAAGCCTAGTTGGAAGTGTGCTTCGGAGTTGCGGTTCAAGGGCATGTTGCATGCAGCGTAGAGCAATGGGGTCGCGCGTGGAATACAATGCGCTGTGTACAATGCGTGTTATCTAGATGGTCATTGCGCGCTCGCTGTGGGCTAAGTGGTGTGTGTTGTAGCATGTACATGTACTGTACATGTACAATATAGTGCATGCTTATTATGGGGAACAGTGTGGGAGCGTAACACTATCTCTGTGTCATGTGTATAAGTTTTTTAAGGCTTGAGTTAGATTATCACCCATAACGCATTATTTTTTTGGGACTTAATATTACAGTGAACCGCTATGCTAAACCATGGTAGGCCAGTACTTAGACTTGGAACTGTACTACTTGTGTACCGTACATTCATCACAGTTGTGACAGTATCGATAATTATTGTGATAACATCATTGTTGATGTACAGTTTGAGCTAATAAATAGACGAAGACAGTTCAGATTATGGACTGGAAATTCTGGATAAAATTGATTTCTCATGTAGTAATCTACAGTAACGTATAGACATGCCAAATTTAATTCCAATGTTTTAAAAGCGAACATACCTTTGCATTTCCGAATCATGGGAAGGAATGCCTTGGTCACTCGGATCATCCCCATTAAGTTGACCTCGATGACCTGTCGGTAACTGTCGAATGACAGCCACTCTATCTCCCCAATCATAACAATGCCGGCATTGTTGACAACTCCCCAAAGCACTGTGACAACAAGGGAAAATACAACAACTAACTTTCTTCTATGTGGGTAAACTTTAATCCAATTTTGACATACTGGGAATTCTTATAATTCTTAGAATTCTTAGAATTCTTATATTCTTTTCTGTTTATAGGAAACGAATGTAAAGATTTTGCATATTTGACACGTAGAGTCGGTTCAATTACCCCTTGAAGTTGTTATTGTTGTTTAAATGATCGATAATGTACTTGGCCAATTTTAGGAACTTTAACAAAGTTCTATAAAATTAAACTGGTTTTAAAGCACAAATCCGTATGAAATCGTACTTTCAAAGTTAGATCCATTGTCTTTTCTGTTTGTCAGGATTTACCCTTCCAATGAAGAAAGGTGGTGAACCCTATGCTCAGCGCCGTTACCAGTGCTGACAAGCACTTGAATGATGCGGTTTTGATGCTACATCACCATCTTGCTTGTTTAAAACACTACGCACGATCATCCTCAGGACCGTGGTTGCCTCGTGGAAACTAATCAATCGTTCTGCAATATAGGCCTACTGTTTATTTTGTGATCTGCGCTAGCTTGCAAAAATGCATCTCTAAACCTCCAGGAATGTGGGGGTACTTAAGTTTGATGTCATTCCGAAGACGATAATTTTTCTTCTATATATATTCGTTCTTTTTCTCACATATTAAACCACTCTTCCTCTATTGTTCTTGATTTGATTGGTTGACCTGGGGCAGGATCAGTTGATCACTATACTGTTTATGTTCTTTTCATCGAAAAATTTGAATACTCCCAAGGAGCCCAGCATGGTACAATCACTGTTTTACAAAGTGGTTCTGTGGTGCAACCTTGCTGGGATCTCGGGCCAGCATGTGCATTCAATATCACAAAACTTACCATCCCCTGACACCGCTACATCAGTCTGTATAAACCGAGCCACCTCAGCCACCTGCTCGTCACTAGTCACATCCATCTGAACCACTTGTAGCTTCCTGGAGCACTCCCTTTTGAGTTTTTGTGCCCCTGCACCGGTCTCAAACAAACAACCAGCGAACACCCGGAAGCCTTGCCTGTCCAGGTAGCGGGCCAGCGCGTTACCAATCCCCCTGTCGCAGCCGGTGACAACCACGGCCTTGCCTGTGACCTGCACTTTGCCTTCTTTCACATTGACAGCAATGACATAGGCCAGAATGATTGACAAGATGTAGCCAAAGCATCTGGATAGGTATTCCTGTCCGAGATTCGGAACGATGTAGTGGATAAACACGAATGCCAACAAAAGAAAAACAAGAAGGTTTTTGATCGTTATGGCGGCCATATTTCTCGATAGCAAAAAGAAGGTTCTATTCCAAACACCTATCGGAGCGCTACGTCAAAGTTTGTTGCAGATGCCAGTTACATCAAATATTTGTTAGGACAGAAGGAGTTTTGCTTATAAAAAAAGACACAAGGGTAAACTGCTGATACTGGAGCGTGGCATTCAAGGTAGATAAATTGGTAATAGAATCCAAGGTCCTGTTATCTTGTGTACATAATGCCACAGCTAGTTTGGGTCACCCCTAGACGACATTCAAACTCACGTAAAACGCCCCCATAAGTCTTCCAAAACTATTGTTTAGCTCACATTTGAGATATCAAGGTGTGCCTATCATGCCAGAGTTATAATGACTCAAATCAACGACTTTACTCGTGCCCCAGTCACAATTTTGACGACTCAACTCAGCAAAAGATTTGATACGACTCAAGCTTTCTGGTGAAATTGAATCAAAGGTGAATCACTCTGGTCAAAAACTGTGTACCGAAAAAAAGATTATCTCGGTGAAAGACGGTACAGAGTTTGTGTAATCTTTGCGCACTACGCGTTATCATTTTGACCTCCCATAACCATAAGGATAATAGGGCCTAATAATAACAATGGCTATTTATAACGCTTTCCATGCCACAGACATTTCAAAGAGTTGTAAAATTACAACAATTGCAACATTTTACAACTTAATTAAAAGTATCAAAAGTAAAAGACAATACGTGCAGGGATAAAGGCAGTATAGGGAATTGATTAAGAGCCAGTGGTGTAAATCTGTGTCGGGGACTGGGAATGAGGATGACTTACGAGTGGTGAATGGTGGAGGCTGGCAGAAAGCAGCTACTTGTACTTTGCCAGGCCCAATAAATTCACAATTTAAAGTACAATGAAAGAGACAACAAATTTGCAACTCCAAAGAGATTTCCCTTAGTTCAAAGAAGTGATCCTAAAAAATACTCATTATATATTATAATCAGAAACAGTCCAACTTAAATACACGTGAACAATAATAATGTAATAGGATGAATTTGGTGCCCCCCATTTTTTGAAAATCTAACTCCCCCAGAGTTAGGTCATGCAGTTTTTTAGAAATGTGTGGGTTGCTTGGCAGCGCGTGTGGGCAGGTTGGTAGCAGAACATGCAACCAACCACAAGAGTCCTTGTGGAGGAGCAGATAAATTCAGTGGCCAGTGACCCTTCACTCCACTTGGCTACTGGACTCCACAGAGACTGTTCTGTCTCTGTGGAGTCCAGTTCTGTCTCCTTGATCTCTCCTTGCATTGAACCTGCCACAATTACATATTCGTCCCTGTCCTGCTCTAGGTGAGTTTGATGATACTTTTGTCTTACTTTTATGCCTAGATTGAAGTGTCTATTCTTCAACGTTTAGACCAAGTCGTCATAGGTCAATATCACATTGCATTTCTGAATTGCAGTCATTGTAATTTTGGCTGAGAATGTTTTGAAAGAGTAAAAGAATGTGCGCGTCTTAAGCCAAAGTCTATTTTAGAAGTTCTATCCATGTTGACATCTGTTTAAGGTTCTGTTGGTTCCAGATACAAACACCATTTCTTGTGCGATATCTTTCACGATCCGTCCAAACATTCTGACTTCCTAGTCCCAGAATACTGAATGAATTTAACTTGCTGTATGAGTTTCCATTGATTTGGAAGTTTACCATTCCCATGAAAAA